ATATATATTTATATTGGATAAAACTGATGCTGAATAACAAAATTTGCTGCAAAAACATTTACCTCATACATTCTTCCCCGGTACATCTCGCCGACAATATTTACGAAACTGAAGTACTTTGAGCAGAGTGTGGGGAAACGAAGAAGTTCTGGCGTCATCAGAGGCATGAGAAAGTTTAGGCCATGAAAAGCAACATCAGCGACGGTGAGCTGGTCACCAACGCGGGTTTCCGCATCTCGAGCCACGTCCGGAAGAAAGCCCATTATATCCTTAAGCAACACCTCACCGAGTAGATGTACCAAGTCGAGAATATCCTGATATTGGGCTTCTTCAGCCGACGGATCAATCGTCAACTTTCCCGACTGGTGCTTCGCGTAGCCTTTCATAATATCCAGTATACAGGCATACACCTGCGAGCATTCGGGTTTCTCCAAAAAGTTTAACATGTTGACCGCCACTGACAGAAATACTTGTATGCACGCAGAGACCATCTGCTGGTAATTGTGGTATAACTCTAGCAAAGCGCCCACTTGCGGCAACAACGGCAACACAAAACGGCTCATCATTTCGGCGTTGGTCACATGGACGCCATCAATCGCACCCGTAAGCCTCTCGAGCAAATCAATGACATTTCGCCTTATTGACTCTTGCTGATAATCTCTTCGGAAGGAGTCACTCGTTCTGAGCTGTTCCATGGTGTCCTGTATAGGTCGTAGGAGCTGCTCGAAATACTGGCCTTCATTTTCCTTGAGCATAGTACCGGCTAGGACAAGCGCCTTTACGAGCGAACGTTTAGCCGTTGTAGGCAAATAATGAAAGCTGCCACAACACTCGAGTCGCAAAATATCTAAAAGGGACGGACACTTGATGGCCCTTGAGCAGCGATCCATTGATTTTAGCAGCACCATTAAACACTGACACGAATCGATAAGAAGTGACGCTTCGCCAGTCCACCGAAGAAGATTGTTCTTAATTTTGCTGACGACGAACTCCAGCACCCACTGGCCAGCTTCCGAATCTCGTCCGAAACAGCGTAGCAGATTAACGCTTAATTCCGTGTAACGAGTCTCATCAGGAAGCAAGTAAACCGGGCACCAGTGGCGAAGAAACCACACCAGGGTGCGGCCCACCTAATAAAAGATAACGTAAAATCGCAACATCTTATGTTTTACTACTTTTCTTTCGGTGAACAGACGACATGAACATCTACTTTAAAAACAGCCAGCAATCTATATCAGCATAGAATTTTTACTAATCGTCATGGGCCAGAATGGAATGCTCTTGTCGCTCACCTCCGGACTGCAATGTAGCCGCGCGTCAAGAGCACGGGTTTCCATTTCGCAGAGTCGAAATACTGCAACAGGCATACGTACTACAGGATCCACGTTAGTTTCTGTGACAGGTTGTGACGGTTGAGACAGAACTCTGCAAAAAATGACACCCCACAGATACGTTACAAAAAAAGCAACACCACCAAACTCAAGAGTTTTGGAAGACAAAAAATCCATTATATTGGCATCTCTCCTCGAATATACCTATTGGACTATGATTGCACAAGTAGGGCTGCTTTAATAACTGTATTATATGCTATAATAATTGCATATTTAGGTATTATAGAGGTTCGCGAATTCACCCGTCTTCAAGGATTTCCTACTACCCGCCCACGGATTCGAAGTCCGCTTGTCAAACGGATTGGTAACAGCGATATTATTGCCATAAGAAATTACGGATTATATATTTCTAAGAGCAACTAGTGTCTTTAGTCATTAACAAGTTTATTCATTACCTTAGTATGTAATAATGCTGTTTCCAGTTCAATCTGCAGCACACTTGTTTACTGGTTTGCTGAATATTTACTATGTAAAAAATATGAATAAATATATACCTGATCATGGAATGACGAAAGCTAACTATAGTAGTGTGTAACTAGAGCCCGTATTTCTAAGAAAAGGAAAATTACAAATCGTAATTTATCTTAGTGTATGCTAATTAAACCTAATTGAAACTTGCCTCAGCGTTGAGTCAATGCTGACGCTCGCTTCATTCGATCGGCAGAAATTTGTGATCGGCTGAGGAATTAGATTTGTTTCACCAGTGATTACGCCTGTTGAAAGTACGTGCCCCGAGACGAGCACTAGCCAGTGTACGTCCTCCGAACATTGCACAAACTGGGCTGTTGCCGTCATGTTTCCCTCGAGCAGCTGTTGAAGTTGCATTGTTCTTGCTTCCAACAGCTGACTTAACATAGGCAGGCTTTGATCTAAGATTTTACGGCCCATTACACCTAAACGATGAGTTCAATTGTCAATGGTAAAAGAAGTAAAAGCAATAAAAGCGAAACTTACACCTAAAACGGTTACCATAGATGAAATATCAAATACTATTGAAATGTTCCTTCGGAACTTAAAACTTCTAAAGTGCAAAGGTAATTGGCTGCTCAAGCAAAGAAACCAAACATTTGTGACTAACCGATTACAGTCAGCTGATTCTTAAATTTCGTTCGATCATCCTCTTCGTTTTCCTCATCAATCTCACGTTCATCCCCACATTGCTGGGGCTTCAAGCCGTCCGGAGGCGCCAAATGCGCACGAAGATAGGTTGTAAATATCTGTAGCACCGATTCGCGCATCTGTTGCTCATCAAACGCGCTGTCCTGAAACGCGAGATGGGGACAGGGTAAAGAACACGTAGGTGTTTTTGAAGAAAACCCGGATATGAGCAGGAAAGCGTCCACTGTGAGCAGAAAAGATGGGCGATAGAAATGCAAAGATCTGATCGATCCTATCATAGAAAGGCAAACCTTTTTATTGATTAATGTTGCATATTGGTTCCGAAAATCCTTTTATTATCGGACATGATTCCTGCAACGTGGATAATCAAGTCACAATACCCGCAAAATATTTCGGTGAATATTATCCATTATATGAATGAATGTAGTGAATGCCAACAATGCTTAGCAAAAACCCGCCTCATACCTGGCATAGCGTCGCCCAGTTGGCAAGGATGGACTCGAGACTCTCTGCGTATACTTCATCGTCGACTAGCTGTGCTTCTTCCTGCGCAGCCATCTCGATCAAGTGACATGTTAGACACGTCATTCTGGAAAGAAACCATTACAGGTGTAACATCAATTGCTCATAAGAAAATGAAAATACAAAGCACTGAGCTACTAAGGTAAGTATGAAACAACTTAGAATTGAAAATATACATAAAGATTACCCACAACTAAACTCATTAATGGATGTCTACATTCTGTTTAAGTCGCAGTATTACCTTTGCAGCAATAACGCGAGAATGTCAGGATTAAGCGACATCAACGCGGCTGGCTGAAACATGAGCAATTTACCAACGGCGCCCGATACCCCGACGACAAGGTGCGACGGAAGCGGAAGTCGCCCGATCATTGCTAAAATTCCTTCAAGCATCCATCCTATAAAGGTTCTATAACGAGATAGACAATTATAACTAGATGAGCAATCAAGTGAATTATGCATGTTATTACTCTAATTAGTCACAGTAATGAACACAAGAAATCTGATTGAATGTACAGGCTTTTTTTTATTCAAATCTATGGAATATTTTCGTTACTTATCGTACTACAATGAAAACACTCACTGCTTAGCTCAGTACATCACCGCATCCGAATCTGATGTTAGAAAACCAGCAATTCTGCGTATTGTTTTCAATAAAATCCAATACTTTTAGTTTAATTAGATTTCTTAAAATTAATCTCACTGAAAAAGATCAACTATTGTTTTTCGTAAATCGGCACTCGTTAGTTAAATACTCAGCTCATCTCAGCCATGTTATTGGCGCTGTCTTCTTACCGTTGATCAGCGCGACAGACGAATATCAGTCCATTAAGTGTGCATAACTGATTGATGCACTGTACAACATGATGTGCCAAGGCCGGGTCATGATGAAACATATCGAACAGTTTGAAGAAGAGTGCTGGTACTTGAGCTTGTAAAAGGGTAGCTTTCCACTCACGACCTGGCCGTAGCGCTGGACAGACCTTCATATTCAGCATTAATCACATAGAATACCATAACAAATGAAAGATAAACGCATGTAGTATCTGAGCTCTTTCAACATTTTTCATCTCAGCAGTAATTGTGATGGGCTTACGTTTAATATTTGGCATAACTTTTATTCAAAGAGCGCAAAGGAAAATTACTGTGCAATATCCAAAAAGACAAGTAGGCGACAAAATTTGTGAAGGAAATTCAACTCATTTACCCTTGAAGATGAATACCTCCGAAGTTATACCCCATTTTTGCTAGCTCAATTTTGCACAATAATAGTTGTGCACAAAAATAGACTACTAGTGAGCTTTTTGTTAAAATACATCAATAAGATCGGCTAACGCAATCAAAAATACGGCGAAGTAGAGTTATGTACACATTACGCTATCGTCCCCTTGATACTCATGACTGTCGTCACGATATTCGTTGTGGTGAAAAAGATGGTCAGCCGAAGACACCCAGTGATCGCACCATAATGCTTTCTCAGCAAGGCTATTGACATAAAATGTCTAATCTCAGCAGCCAAATTTCAAGTTGTTTTTTTTATACATCCCGACAAGAATGATTTGTACCGACTCCATTTAATAAAAACCTGCTATAATGTAATACCTGAGTTTCAAATAGGTGAACCAGCTTTCTTGGCAGCATCATGGTAAAGTGGAAATTCCAAGAAAGGATTTGCTCGGCAAGTGAAAGGAACTTCCTGATCAAGTAGAGTGCGTCCGTGGGAATAGGTTGCTGAATTCTTGAGGCTTGGGTCAGACCATGGAGACAGAACTCGAAGATACGTGGTAAATGGATACTCTCGAACATCTTCTTCGCACGCAAGTGAGCCTCCCACGGAAGACCAACATCCGAGGCCCGCGTCGACGACGCAAACTCGTTGAGTAGTGCCGCCAAGACCGAACAGCCGACCACCTATTATTATGATCATTATTATTACGACACACTTCTTTTAAAGGTTTTGTTATATATGGATATATTTTTTTACCTATTATTTCACGACTGCCCGCGCAGCACGTGGGAGGTTCTCTACGGGGATAGGCTATCTATACGCCAACGATAATTTTGGGTAAAATTTCGTTCTATGATCTGTTCTTCGCCTTGATTGGGTCAAACAATGCTGTCTTCAAACTTGGAAGATACTTTTTGATACGTTCGAACGTCTAATAGTCAGGGATGCTAAACCTACTGAGAATTGGTGAGATCCCTTTCTGTTTTTGCCCGCACTGACATATGAGAGCAGCGCGTTTTGCGTTTTTTATGTCTTTCATCGAACTTGGATGTTACACGAGTGCTCCGTATATTACGTGTAGTTCAACATACATCTTGAATAGCTTGGTATACGAAATTGGGTTGCTCAAAATAATTGAAGGTAAGATCCAGTTAGACCGGCGGGTTAGGCAGATAACTATATCTCTCACAGGTACTTTGTATTTTAGCGTAACTACCATAGTAACTCCTAAGCTACGGATCGCTAATGAAATATAAATAATAAGGATTTCCGTGGCCGAAAATCAGGATGGCACATTTTTCAACTGATAGTTTGAAATGTAATCGATTGGTTTATTTATTTTTACTATCTTTGTTGTTTTACTATCTATATTTGTATATTATTTTTACATCATCTTCAATATATCTTTAAAAATTCCGATGGCGATATGTACATTCTCGAATTTATGTACAAAATTTACACGAAAGGTGCTAGGGTTGTCTTTTAAGACAAACTTGAGGTGGCCCTGACGATATATGAGTATTTAATACTTTGGCACGAAAAGTACGGTCGCAAAAAACTTAGAAATCGTTTCATCGGTCAATCGCCGACGCATCTTGGAAATTTGAAGCAACGCGTTTAAACGCTGATTTGAGGTCGAAGCTCGTCCCGTCAAAAATCTAAGATATATTGATGAACTTTACTGATTCGAATTGCGTTTTCAATAACTGCAGACTGGTGCTTCGTCCTGGTCTACAGGTGAACTCAGCATCAAATATTAGTTCTTACCCGCCAGCGTTCTTGAATATGGCCCTATAAATAATTATTTCTACCAAATTACGTGCTACCGCTTATAATAGTCTTCTGTTGATAAACTCAACCTTCGATCTTTACACGAGACACACTATGGCTGTTTGCAGTATGCCTGGCACTTGGGCATTTTCGCTAAATCGCCTGAATACTCGTTATAGATTGAAATTCCGAGCCTCTTAAACACTTATGACGGATATCTCTTCGGAATCGCACTATACTTTGTTTTTTTTGGAAAGTATCTTTACCGGGCTGACATCTATATTATAGACATTAAGTTGAAATGGCTCAAGAAGCATTGGAGATCCAATTCGTTGCACCACAGCAATTCGTCGTTCGACGATTTTCTAGATCCCAAGAAAGCGCTAAATATTTATAATTTTTCGCGATCATTTGTTGTTAGTGTTCAGCCGCCAGTGCGCCTAATAATTTTCGGCGCGTTTTTCAAAGCTATTCGTATACATACATAACTGTGAATCGCTCTTGGGTCCCTGTGCCGCAGAACGTTGTATTCTTCAATTCCTCGTTGTCTTCTGCTCGCTTCAGTAATCTTTTCCTTCAGGTCGCAACCTTATGCTGATCACATTATTTTTAAGAGGAAACAATAACTGAGATATATATTCGTTAATTTGCGACCGTACCTTTCGCTCGTGTGGGACGCGTTCGATTAGCTGGTAACTTAGTGAGCTTAAACTTTCTCACATGTTGACATGCGCGCAGTCGTCAAAAAATATTTCTTACTCTACCAGGTCCAGATTGCAATTTATCGCAGCATAATTTTCTTTTTCATAGTTGAGTCTCTGATGATCGTTTTGCTCATCGTGTATAGGTCCGAAGATGCAGAATTCAAACAAAAATTACTTCAAGCCGATCGGATTGAGGAGCACCCCGACGTCTGAAATTAAGTCGTTGTTGTATGGGAAAATGTCGAGGAGAGATGTGATGTTATGGTTTGTCGGGTGGGATCCGTAACAAATTTTATCAATCTATGATTGGCACAGAAGTTATCAATATCCTTTCCTTAAATTCATTTGAGTTTTACTAAAACGCGACATTACTAAAATGCAACTAGGATTCATTTTTAGGGAAGATATAGTTTGCCCGTAGATATGGCAGGCCTGTCGTCAACGGCGAGTCATGCTAAGAGGAGAAAAAAATTTTCACGTGGAATCTCACGATAGTACAACATTTCAGTATCGTTCCCCTGTCTGTTATGGTGACTCCCATTATCATAACCAACGTCAAAATACCTCAACAGAGAGTCTGCTATCGCTACTACGAATTCTAATTTTCTTTACTGTCGTGGGGTGTACGTTACCATGGTCCCTTAAGTATTCGTACAGTGCTTCTGCCAATACCCCAGTAGATATCTTAAAAATTCTTAGAGTTTCCGCGCATTCCGTGTCGTCTTCGCAGACAGTAATCGTGTTTCGGGTTTTCTAGATTTAATTACTTATTGTTGCATTGGCTCATAAAATATTCTTTGTATTAACGCGCTTTCCTAAGGTTCTGTTTGATTGTCTATTTAGTACAATAGCCGGTAGGTGGAATGGCGGCTGGTGCTACACCTGCCTGCGCAGCCGCGTTTTTAGTCACCAGTGCGCTCATCTTGCATTGGCAATCGAATACAGCACGCTCAGATTTATCAGATCTTAAACTAAATTCTTGAACTATTGTCTTTGTCACCAACCTGGAGTCGGTTGTTATCGCTCATGATCAGCTGACTGAGATCGTTTAGCATTTGCGTGATAATGGCATTGTCCCCGTCCACGAACTGTCTCTTGGTCATAATTGCAAGAACAAGAACCATTTGTTCGCGAACGTAATTCTCCATGTTCTCACGTGATGTCAGGTAAGCCAGAAGATAATTGCGCAACGCCGCGACCTGGCACCAAAAGAAGCAGTCGCACACAAAAAACATTTTATTTACAAGGCACGCTATGTTCTTGTTTCATCTTTACCGCCGCTATGAGATAGAAAATCGCAAGACAATTGTCATTTAAACTTATAGAATGTAGCAGATCGTTACGATGAGCATGTTTAAAAAATCTGTTAGAACCAAGCGGCCGGTTTTCAGATTATATCAATAACCAAACAAGCATGTATTACCTAAAAAAACAATACTAATTCTATTAGAATAGCTAACCTGCTCCAATGAAAGGTCCTTCCATTCACGTATAAGTGCGTTTTTGAGCAGTGTGGCTGCTTGAAACTGTACATATTGAACCTGACTTTCCTCCAGGAGCACCTGAAAATATGAAATGAAATCTCTCTGAAGGCACAGTTTGGTCATAATCGTTTTAGAAGCTTGGTAACCTATGCGTGTGTTCGCCTCACTGTCAGATTGTATATCCAAAACATATAATTCGCAATGCGTTGTCGCATTTCCATACAACATATCCACTGAATCAGATTACATACAAAAAAAAAAGGAGTTAAAAGCCCTCCTTACCTTACAGAGATCAAAGGGCTGTTTTGTTTTCTGGAGCTGCAGGAACACCTGCTCGGCTGCATGCCGTTGTTCTGACGTCACGAAATTTGGTGGAGCCTGAAAACCGCAATTAAGCACTCAGCTTCGCGCTACGATGACGTAATGGCCCTATCCGCTTAATGCACATGTTTAGCTTCTTTACTTTTGTTGAACATCAAAATTTATCCAGGGTCCTTAGTAAAACACCCTCAAAATCAAAAAGAATGAACTCGCAGTGAGCGTTTTTCACACCTGTGAAAAAGCCCCAGTGTACTTTACGTTGAGCCCCACTCTCAAGCTGAAAGAACTTCACGAGCAATATTGGTCATTTAGTACCGCTCGTAACGAATACTGTTCAGTGTGGATACTGGTGAATGAGTTCTAGACTAGCTTACTCATCGAATGCGAATTAGAAAGGGTTGGCCGTAACACGGGCGTGATGCTCTCGAATACAACAATGCATTTTTTCTTTTCCTGTTCTTTTCTTATTAATAATAATTTACCATTTTCTAACAATCAGTTTATCGTTTTCTACAATTCGATATTCGGTCGCTTAAAGCAGGGTAAGTTTCTCTGTTTATGTATGTTTACCAGCCCTCTCGAAACCCGCTTCAGAAATTTTTATAGCTATTTTGGCTCTACCTAATAAAAACAACTACATTTCTCCTGAGTTTGCCAATCTGCTCACAAACTGTATAAAAGTAATATCTGATACGAACTGATGGTCGGTTCCAATGGAAAGCAGAAACTTTGTATGTGCATCCAGGATAAAAATAAATGATTATACCTTCTATTTTCTCCTACGATTGCTGCTGATTGCAAACTCGAAGTAGTCAGTCGCAATATATTCTTTGCAAAGGAATAATAATAACAATAGTAAGAGGGGTTGCTATCAGTCATCAGCGTGGTTAGCTTACAAGCCAATAGCCCTAGTGACAAAACACTTGGTTGATGATGTCGATGTCAGATTTCGACACGCATATCCATATTAGTCGATTATCCGGGATTATTAGAATCGAAATTCGCTTTGTGAAAATGTTCAAATAGTTGGAAGAACTCTACCCTATCGTAAATTGATAATTCAATAAATAAACGAAGCTTGCGTCGAATAGAAGGCTATAGCTATGTTGCAACATGAGTAGTTAACTCGGTCAAGAGAGGGATAAACAAGTTCGTTTACCAAGAATGTCCTAGCAGCATTCTCCAGCTCCTGCATCGCTTGCTGGCTGGCCACCTGCATCCTGAATGACGATTGCGTGGATTTTCAATGTTTCAATAAATTCGATATGATCTGAGTCACTTATTCATATATATGTAGCTTCCGTAATTTAATCTCGTGTTGCCGGTCGTCTTGCTGTTATGCTTATTCGTATTATTATTATTGTTGTTGTTGTTGTTGTCGTCGTCGTCGATGAACAGACGTTTCCGACCAATTCAAAGCAGTCAAACAAATGTGGGAGATTTCAACACTGCGAACATCTCTCGTATTTCTACAAAGACGTATGCACACTCACTCACTCACAGGTTTGAGACATAAAAAAGCACAGACTCAACTGGCTGAGAGCGATGCTGTCTTGTTCCAGCGAACAACCGGCTCAGTCTTGGATCGATTGGGCACAACCCCAATTGTTTAATTCGTTGGACACTCGACTACAAGTACTGACTAAATTCACGTTATAGGTGCTACTTCGATGAAAACAGCGATATTACTTGCTAATAGCAAATATAAAACTGAATAGAACTATACCAGATCTGCTGTGAACGACAGAACAGAACAACTTGAATAAGAGTCGCATACGCTATTCGCCTATTACGACTGCCACGAAGAACAATAGCTCGCGTAAAGTTCCCTATATACTTTAAAACTTCTTTCCACTCAGCGGTATGTAATAACACTCATCTGCACACAAACACTTTTATAACAACAAACTCATTGACAGGCAGAAGATTCGGGTCTCACTCCTCAGATACAAGCAAGTCGGCGGTGTACTGCAGACTCCGGCCGCGTCCGTCGACGTTACATAGATATATGTTAATTCCTTGCCATCATATACACAAATACTCTGTTTACTGGACGTCTGTGATAAACCTCCATACGAGTGGTACTCTTACTGCAATAGCGACATCCGATTGGAGAAAAAGCTTTCCGATTTGTCCAGCTATGCATCTACATCTACTGAATAGCTGTGTTATTTTTTACTTCTTTGATTGTAACTACTTCCTCGGAATCTGCTGATTGACTGACGTACTGCTCAAACGGCCTGCGTATATCGAACGGTGCTGCACGGCGCCGGTCACTGCGAATTTAGCTCGGGATTTAAGTCGGCTACGAAGCTGGTCAACCTCAGGAATGAAATCAACCGCAACGGGTATAGCCAACACTCGATTCCTGGCCAGCAGCAGCAGACTGAGCGCCGAAGCAGCTCTGTGATTGAGCAGATGAGCGCCGCAGGATGGATGCTGACGACAACGACGATTTCGGCAATAATAACACAGCCGCCGTCAGCACTACCACCACCATCGGGGTGAGTGGGAAAGAAAAACTTACGGGAAGGTTATTGCTGCGAGACTTGGATGCCGTCTGCGAGGTGAGGCAACGCGACGGGGGAAAGAGAGAGAGAAAGAGAGAGAGAGAAAGTTCCCTTAAAAGATCAATATTGCAGTTTTTTTTATAAGAGAATCGAACAAAATTTGTCATGGCTGCAATTTTAAGTGAATCTGGGAGGTACATGGTATAAATGCAAAGTAATTAGAACATCGTGATATTTTTTGTAGTGCATTCGCAGAGGGCACGTCATTTCCGGGTCTTTTTCTGGGTGTTTGAATTTTGGCGGTTAGACAAAGCAGCGAGGATCAGGACTATTGCGGGAGCTAAAACCCATCCTGGACTGTGTGTATTTGTTTAAAGTTAGGTTCGAATTTGTGAGGTTATCTTTTCCAAAGGTCTGTCAGAGTAAAGCTTATTAAATATAAACAGGTTGTTTGTCCTTGAGTGAACAGTTTGTATTTGTTGTGTGACGAGCAATCTGTTTAACGCACATCTTCGACCTTCTTTGAAAATATTAGACTAAAAATCAGGAAACAATTATTCAGAATAAAAACGCTAAGAACAAGTTGAGGTGCGAGTGTTTACGTTTATATATGTGAAGTGTCAACGACCTATAAAACATTACTGGAATCAAAGTTCGTCATTGCACGATACAAGCTTGATTTAAGAAAAAAAAGGGTTTTAGCTGCATTCTGAAATTATGGTAGTAGAAAACTAATTGAAATCATCATTTTAAAAGATACCCAAAATGCATATTTCCAGTAATAACATTAACAACAAATACCCTTAGAATTCAATTGAATTTGTTCAAGTTACTATTCAATAAACAAACGTAATGGGGAGAATACTGATTTCGGAATTTCGATTTAGCAAAACGGTACGCAATACAACAGCTGTGTTTGTTCTCATTGGGCCCATTTAAAAGTGCAACTGGTGCAATCTAGACATATCAGTTCAGTCCAGAGTAATCCATATGAAGATAATCGAAAACACTGTATAATAAAATATCTTTGATTATAATTCTAAAGCCACTCTTAAAATGAATCCATCTAGCTGTCTTTGGTTCAGGATCGAAGCATGGATTATGTTCTTGTAAAGAAGCTAGATGATAACTGCAGATATGCCTGTATTATTTTCATTTGGTAGCCAACTCTCTATAAAAAAATCGGACTCTGCATTCTAAGTCATATTAATGTCAAAAATGCAAAATTTTTTATCGTTGACCTAATAATTTCCATGGGGAATTATGGGCATATATGGATTTTGACCAAGTTATAAATGAATGCTCGATATCTGCTATCCGTTATGAGAATCGATCATTTATCTTATCTTGTAAAAAGAACGTGCTACCTAGTGGTATATAAAGTTACAAAGCGTGGAAATTACTAACTGAAATCTGTCAATACAGACCAATATAGACGATGGTATGTTTTGTTAATGCCATCAAGTGACATTTATTTCTGTCGTCAACGCATTAGAATACCTCATTATTTAGGCAATGACTATTATTGCAACTAAATTATTCAAACTGACTCGCATCAGGCCAAATTATCCTTTAGCATGGATGAGGTTAGTTAGCGCATCCGGCGCTTACAGATATGTTCACGTTCAATTTAGTAAAGAAATAAAATTCAGATATAAAAAAGTAACATTTCGTATATCCTTATAAAAGTTATTCTAACTCAGCCCATGGTTATAACTTGCAGCTAAAGTACCTCGACCTAAATATAGACGATGTTGCGGCGCAAGCGGTTGTCTTTGGCGCCCGATTCGCTGGCAGACCTCAGGGAAATCTCTGCCGAGGAGCTACAAGGCACCCGAGTAGCGCGGGCCCTTGAACTGCAACAGAAGACAGAGGAGCGACAAAATGAAATGGTTTGGTCAAAGTTCTCATGTCTTATTTATAGTACTCAGGCAACACAGTTCCATTCGGTTCCACAAGTAATGTCCAGCAATACGTTTAGCAAAATTGATTTATGTAAAGAGTCGAATTTCGATTGAAAAACCCCACACTCTTAGTGATTTACATTGTGGCTCTGGTAATTTTGTCAGTTCTTTTTCAATTTTATTTTTAGTAATTTTATGATACCGCTAAGCTGGGAAAACACGTTTCCAAATCGAAAAATATTCGGAAATTAAAATAACTAAAGAGCACTATTAATGAGTTGTATAAATGAGAATATTAATGAGCACCTGCAGTTCAGGGTTAAACCGATAGTGGGCGTTGAATTTTCCAGGATAAACAAACTCCGAATCTTGAAGGTGACCAACTCTCAGCGTATATCCAAAGCTGCGTAAAGCTTTCACAGGACAACAAGATCACAATTAGGAACGCGTTTGATGTACAGCTTATCGACTATATGATTTCGTTTGCTAAAGAGGAGAAAGGTATGAAACAATAAATTTGTTTAAAGTATGTAATATGTCTGATTTCATTAGAGGTAAACCTTCTGTTTTTCTAGCTTTGAGTCGGAGTGTGTAAATCAGTTGGGTGCAAATTTTTTTCCTTAAATTAAAATGCTTTGGAAAAATATCTTATGAAAGACCATTTTTCAGTGAATGTATGATCAGGTTGCTTTGCCAACAGGTATATGTGTTATATTACGTTTCAACTTCCATTGTTGCAGATGGCAATGCAACAAACTTCTCACTAGCTTCCATGACACTGGATGCATCGGGTAAGATTTACGGATATAGAGTAGATGCCGTACATCAGGATGTTTTCAGGCTCGTATCTGGCATAGGTGTTGGCAAGAACATCGTAAACGATGGTGGCATACCTGCGGCACCTGAAGAGCTCGATCAAGTTAGTGACCTAATTGTATATTTTAGCGTAAAGGTAGTTGCAAGAATACCACTTCTGTTATCATTTGTTCTCTGCGAAGCATGCGCTACACTTTCTCCTTAAGGAATTTTACTATATGCCTGTTCATTACTATGCGATGTTTGGTTTCTTTTATCTCTTAAGGACAGGAACGATCAAACCAAAAAGGCGAAAAAGCGTCGCCTGAGAAGTACATACATCGGCGAAGAAAACGCTCATATCGGAAATATTGAGATCGATTACGAAATCAGTGGAAACGACATTTTAACGACGGTTCACCACAACGATGGTACAATGCAAAACCAATAATTATAATACTAGTGAGATTTTGTGAAGAATATGCTGATCAGATTCAAATTATAGTATTCTTATCTATGCAGGAAGTTCTCAAAAAATATAGTGATAAATAGTCAAATCATAACATCAGGTGACAATGACACGAAAAAACTGTGACATAGTTCAATGGCCATGGGATTTATAGAATAGAAATAACAAGTCAGTAGCAAGTGAGTCCAGCAAGCATTTGTGTTCTGCTGATCGCAACCAGGAAACGCCTTAGGCCGAATAATGTCATACAATTTGGTTCCAATGGAGACGGACTCTGTAGACATCGAAGGCAGTAATGCGTGGTGGCAGGCTAATGGCTCTGTTCAGTATGTCCCCTGTGTGGCTGATAATTTGCCTACGATAGCCGAGCGCCTACCACTATCGACGTACTTACTCGAACAGAACATGGAGGCTACTTTTGCGGTTGAGACCTCATGTCCACTACCAAATCACCCAAGCCAGGGCGATTACAACAACCTTAATGAGTCGGTGGTACGTTTTAAAGATACTAATCATATATATATACATATGCAGGACGTTCTGTAGTAGAATTTCAGTTTTTATATATAACTAATATTTGAACTACAAACAAATCTATATAAAATTTATCGTTTTTCTTCTTGTCGCAGGTGTTCAAAATTATTATTGTTCTGGTCAATAATACACTGTTGACAATGGTGGACTAACAAAGTTCAATAAATATTAGTTAGACCCCAAATTTATATATAGGATGTAGTGCTCACACAGAAACACCTTGTTTGTTAGAAATTTGGGCATACTAAAACTGCTTTTTCGACATTCAAACAGGTGTTTGACCCTGATGCAGAGCCACTTCCAGTAGCGGAGGATGCTCATGACAGTCATATGGACATTGCCCCTAACATGTCAACTATTATGGAAAGAAACAATTTTGGGGAAGTAACTACTTTGAACCAAACTGCGATATTTGCGTTTGACTTTCTCGAGCAGTTGAAGTCACAGGGACTCAACTTTGCCGGGCCAACCCAGTTCAAACTCAGACGCTTCAATATTTGTAAGTATATTGAAGAAACATTGTCATCGTTAGAAGACGCTTAAATTTGGCTCCACGTTTGTATTCGACAGTAATGCTCCACAAATGTTGTAATTAGCGTAAACAGTAACCATCTTGAGATGTATTTATTTTAGTTTTTAGCATATATGTATGAACTCTTACATTGTTGTGTCGACCGGTCTTTCTCTAATATAGTGGGCCACGAGAAAAAAAATCCTGGAGGTACACAAGCACAGAAAAACCGAAGTAAAAGAAACTTGGACTATGTCATGTTTAATGACGACAGCTGTGTCGATTTTTTTGAGGATGCTCAGCCAAACTTGCCAAAAACAAAGGGAAGGGCACCAGGTAAGCTATCGTCCTTCGTTAAGTCTAAGTATAGTATCGCCAGCGTTCAACTAGAGAAAAAGTGAGTCGTGTGTTAAGCTCATTGAAAGATATGTTTTCATGCGTTCTGTCATAGCGATACAACATGCTGAAACAAAAAGAAAATTCAAAATTGAATGCGAGTGTTGGCATCTTCCGCCTTTGGCATGAATGTTACATTTCAGAAATGTTATCGATACTCTTTTGTCGAGTAGAGGCATGTACATTGCTGTGGAGTTTCATAGACAATGTACGGAAGTGTGTTTCTGCATAGAAGAAAATACCAAGAATACGTATAGATTTATATAGTAGAATGCTGATAGTGGGACTTATAATAATACAATACGTAATTCACGTCTACTTCCTACTGTAGCCCGGTCCGCTACGACGTTAGCTTCGTTGACAATGGATCGCTGGACCAGCGATTCAACCACACTCACAGTGGAATTTACTCCATCGAGCTTTGAGCGCCTGACACAGCTGTTCGAGCTCAGCAATATCAGCGTACATCAAAATAAACAGAAGCCCGCGGAGGATTTTGGTGAAGGTATGAAACAGACTGTACAGACGTATTGAATTCGAATTCTTAAGTCACGCCCTAAAATTGTTCCGTGTTGAACTTATTCAAAGCATTTACTAACTTTTAGGGTATTTAAGAAATATCCATAATCGGTGAGAGTCTACTATACCGCACTCTAGTACAAATGGTTACATGAATATAACAACAACAACAAAAACAAAATCTAATGTTTGCTAAGTGACGAATATTTACGAAGGGTTCGAGGGTTCACGCGCACTGCTGCCGCATTTTTTCTGTCTGTCTTTAAACAAGTAGGCCGATTAATTGAGTATCGAGATGATGCAGACGATCGGCCAGTAAGCCCTTGCGCGGACGATCATTTTAGCGATTTAGGAAGAGACGCTGAACACGCAGATCGGGATTTCAATATTGAAAACGTTGAGGCTGTCGACAACGACTTCAATGTGCCTTATTCACAACCTGCAGAAGATGAACTTGGATACGATAACCTAATTAGCGCACCAGGAGTCGTTGCAGAAAAGCTTGTCATTGCGTACACGAAAGCCGCTAAAAAATTTAACGTTCGTCAAATGAAGGAAAGCTATTGGAAGGTAGGTACAGAAACCGTGCATAACGATGTCAATCTTTGTAGTCTAGTTGTGGATGTCGAAGTGCCGAACATCAAACTTTTTTAACTAAAGCGCTAATATTCTTGGCTAACTGGATGCATAACATTTGTCCCTAATTACTGATAACTGGATTGTAAAGATTTCACCATTAAAAGTGATGAAAGCTCCTCTATCTAGGGAAAACTACGAATTTGTTGAGTAACAAAGTATAGAGTAAAAACTGCTGTACTAATAAGAGCATACGGGCGTATCAAGGTATAAGAGTCGACGAATTACTATTTATGAAATGTCAATAGTGGTTATATATAGTGGACGTAATAGGGACCACAAACACCATATTTATCATCTAACGTTATTCGTTACCTGTTCATTTTGTTGATGGTATTTTTACATAGGTTTTAACTAACAGTATGGACAAGGCTGAGGCTATGGATGGTGAGAAGAGCTTTTCGCAACTGTTTGACGATGTTCAACCTCATCTATCCCAGATGAATCGTAAAAACGTCTCTTTACCTTTAGCCTTTGTCTCGATGTTGTTACTTTGCAATGAAAAACACCTTATGCTGAAATCGGAGAACGAATATGATTTTAAAGTTTATCAAGCTCCGAACCCATACAAGTAGAGGCCAATCAGTGAGAGTACCGTTATCATTGTATTCTGTTATCACTGTAGGGAGGTCTACTTATTGATGAAGATTAAGCAAGTACAATAAATTGTATCTAGAGATTAGCGGCAGCAGATGAGCGGCGATAACGAATGTAGAAATTAGATCGGTTCGATATTTAATTCTGTTTCTTTCGAGTCGATGTAGTTCAGATTTTAAAATTTGAATACACATACAAAGCGGATTCTTATTTTTTGCAATTTGCTTCACACTGCGTTAGCGGCTCATGACTTCAAGCACGTGCTAATTTGTGGGTTAATCAGAGCTAGTAAATACATTCTCTTTTGTGTATTTTGTGTACAAAACATTCAAAAGACAAAAAAAAGTGTAGTCAACATCTATAATAAAGAACCATTGATTTCATTTTAGTGTAGACAGAGTGTACAGAAGAAAAAATTCTGTTTCATGAACTGCATACATAAGGTTTAATTATCTGAAAAGGTGAGGGGTACATCATAAGTGAATTAACAAATTTGTATATAGTTTTTATCAATCGGGAAATCAAATAAAATGTTAGCGATTTTGTTTCACTATTTAATCAGGTTTAGCTTTGTGCGAAGACATTTATACAATTGCCATAATATACCACTTGTACTGCTACTGTTGTTGCTAGTACCTTTTACCATATTAATAAAACAAATAGTTAGTTGAGGCGAAACTTAGGTAGATAGGTACAAGCGACATCGACTGGACAGAGTGATGATCTTGTTCTAGGGATTTCGTAAATTAGAATCTTGTAATCCAAGTTATCATCCGAGCTTGCCCATTCAGCTTAGTCAGTTGACGTGTTTATTAGTCGAAATTTCGCTGCTACCTATTTCTGTGTTTTTACAAACAAAACACAATTGCCCTAGGTAAAGAATATAAAAAATAATTTATTAACATGCGGGATGATACCTTTTGCGCGTGTTGCTGTAAAATTTGCTGGTCAATACGCTTGCTCGTTTATAAATACAGTTTTTCTATACAAGCATTTTGACGATGTTTGCTTTCGTCGTCTAGCATTTCGATCACGCATTGACCGCATTTCGTAAATGGTCGTTTCACCATCTCTATTCATGCATGAAGTTTTTGTATGGGACGTTCCTCTGCAGTTTCCCAAATATGTTTAAAACTATTTATTTTCCAGGGATTAAGCTCTTCCGTTTAGCATTATGCCAGACGGTTGCCCAAAAAGACCCGTTAGACAAATCGAGCTTGGGAGGCTTAGTGTGCGAACGGATCTCTCTTGAATTGGGGCATCAATTTTATAAAAACAAAACAACTTGCTTTTATTATAATTTAATTACTATTATTTTTACATACCGGCGGTTTAATTCTTCTACAGGCTGCGGAACGACCTCGAAATAAATACATTTTTGTTATCCACCGGTCAGCAGCTATACACCGGGTATAAAGGTCTTATGACCCATTTTTCTTTGCGGTTTTTGTAAGCTATGTTCTCTATTATGTGCGAACACTGAATTTCATGTACTGTTGTTATTACTTTTGGCTTCTAACGACTATGCTAACCGCTTTACTCATGAATTACATTCATTATATATTCCAAAAGTTTTCGATTTTCCTATCTACAAAAGAGTAGAATTTTTTCTCCGCTACCTCCATCGCTATTTCCAAGCTTTCCCATTTGTCATTCTTTGACAGACCTTCAGCACTGTACACACACATAGACATGTCACACCTAAACCGCACGCAAGCGCGTACCCACTCAGTAACTAGACCACATGAGATTACTCGTCGAAGTAATAATGAAATCGTGTCCATTTGTTGACTCTATACATAATTTTTTTAAGCAGTGTAGGCGACATTTGCTTATCACTCGCCCGTGATACTATTATTTATTAACATCGTTGAAATCCGGTGTCACGAGCAGTGCTTCTACTTTTTACCCATGTACATCTGCTCGATTGCCGACACAATCACTACCTAAATCAAAAATTTACACGAGATGTTTGATACAAGCATCTGAGGGAGCTATACCCCGTATGTCTAGTTCACTACCCTTTGTTCCTTTCTATGGGAATAGAATGTTATGATTCCCATGATCTTACAGGAACACAATTGTTTCATTCTTAGATCCCATCTGGTTGTATCAACGCATAGTCATGGTCAGAATAATAGATCTGGGCTGCGTGCACGCACCTGTCCATTGTAACCACGACGTCAACTATACAACCTAAAGCTTCGCGTACTTCTTTTGGAATTCTTGAAAGAGGCTTCACAATTTTTTTTCTTTCCCTGCCGCCATACGATTTTTCCTTATCGCCTCCAGATCCTCCGTCTCGTCTCAAATCAGTTCGATCTCTACTGTCAACATTCTTGCTATCACGGACTATGGCCGACCTAGGGGGAGCATACGTTTCATCAACGTCTTGACGGTATTCTTTGTTATTTGGTGTATTTACGTAGTTATTTCCTTTTACTGGCGTGTCAAGGATTGTCATAACCTTGGTAGCTGCCTCCGATACTGAAGCCGCACGACGTTTTGGTCGTCCACAGGCATTTACCTGCCAAAATGTAAGTATAAAGCGATGAAAATTTAATATTTGCAAAAACAAATCAGGGAAACAAAACAATGCTAGACGCATGAACAATATCGCACCAGTTCTCTTGCGTGTCTAACCTGCAAATAAACCATGAGTGTTCTCATTTGTTATATCGGCTCGTAAACCAACCTGTGTTTCCGGCTCTGCCTGAGCTAATCGTTCTCGTTGCTTTTGAATTTGGTGGGACAGTGCTCGCGCTTCGCGCTTCCGTCGCCTCTTTGCAAATTCGGCCTGAGACTCAAAATCGAGGTACCTAGGAACACCATCAATAACAATTGCACTACTAATAATTTTGAATTGGTCGATACGTGATTATACCTATCAATCGGCTAATAACTTATATCATACATATTGAGATGTTATATTTTTTGTACAACTATGCCAGTTACATTAGAACTTTCCTTAAAAGTTGGAAAGTAACAACGCAATAAATGCGATAGAAACGATGAAGTAAGATAACAGCAACGAGATGCAATTTAAAACGTTTAGGGAAGAACGCCTTCCTCGTATCATTGAAACAGTATAAACCAGTTACGTCAAACACCATCATTTCCCTAGTCTTAACATTACACAAGAAGGCCAATTACGTAGCTAATAACGTACGTAAAATATGTACGACCCAGTGCACAGAAACAAACATGTAAGTTCTGCCATTAACGAAATTTGTTGGCAAAGGAAGCAAATTTTAAGCTAGGAAGTTCTGGTAATTTCCTTTTTAATAACTGATTTTCAATAACAATTTTAGTAGGTGCAAACTAGCAGTCTTCAACAGAGACTACACGGTTGAAGTTTGAATATAATTATGGTATTTTCGTACCTTTTTAGACCTCTAGCAGCCATCAATTGCGGTTCTTTGGATTTTGTTTTTTGAACAGGTTCCTCGTAAATCGTAGCTAGTAGCGAGGCCTTTTTGGCTGTTTTTACGTAGGGTTTTTGCAGGTACAGCTGCTTCAAGCTCGGGTCCATCTCTTCGACGCCCATAGCGCCAACCCCCGTAGACGTCGCCAGGTCCCACCCAAAAGTCGCTAACGTTCTCATCAATCAAGTTGGATGCCTCGCCGCCAGCTTGTGCGTTCTGACGCTACGCTCCAAGCATTTTCTGCAACGCACAAAATAACACGGATAAAATTAGGCATAACTCCTTTAAATGCTCCTGTAAATAAATCAAACCACAAAACACGTCAAAGGTGGAGGTATCGACGAATAGAAGTTTTAACCCCCACAAGATTGCAAATATGCTCGTGTGTTAATGGAAAAACTTAGAAGAGAATATAGATTATTAAGATTTAGAATGCTAACTGCGTTCATTGTTCCATCTCTCACATTTCATGAGTTTATAAGGGTTACACCTTAAGTAACGTCCAATAAGAGTTCGATGGACTATGTTTTAATCATGCGGGTGTTCTCTAACAGAGCTATCAATAACTCGATAGACGTCTGGATCTATGGGCAAAAGCATTACGTTACTGAAGCCGACCACAAATCGAACAATGTCAAGTAATGTGTATTTTTACATTGGCTCAACATTCACATGATTTTAAGGGGCAACAAAGAGTGCCCCAATAAAAGTTGCAGAATTTTACATGTGTTTTTTGCTAGCACACTTACTTTAACTAGAGGGATCAGAAGCAACCTGATATACCTGAACTCCCCAAATAATTAATTGAATAATAGTATATTATAACTAAGAGGTACTAGAACCGTTATTTGAATCAAGCTCATATAAAACGGCTTCTCAAATAATTTCTTCCTCCCTGTCTAATCGGAAAGAGTATACCCTCGATGACGTCACGCATATGAAACAATAGTAAAAACATTAACCTCTGTCGCGTTTCTCAAGTAATTACAATAAATTGTGTACAAGTTAACTCGCGCCTTCTTTTAGATCTGTTGACCTATTACATATGATCTACAGATGATGAATCAACCAAAGACAAAAGAGTGTAATTATATCTTTAGTGGACTATAATGTAAGAAGTCGGTAATAGTTGATTATGCATTGATGACCTATACAGGCTTCCATGGAAGCTGGACAGGCTTTGGATATATCCGCAAGTTAGAAATCACACTGGGAATTAAGCAAAGCGCAATTTGATTTTGAAACAATTCAAGGCCTTCCACGCTTTTTAGTTATCGATTTTTGTTCACCACGAATGTAAAAATGAACGATGATAAATGTAAAAACTGTAAATGTAACTGAATATAAACTCTTGTCTAGGCTCACTACTTTTTATAAAGATGATACATTTGCTCCTTAAATGCGCAACGTTTGCTAATAACGATCAGATAAGATAATACTGATAACGTCAAGGATCGAAGCAATTGATTATGCATAAGCTCGCTGCAACTGTTAAATCACTTATAAAAAATAGAAATGCAGAGAAACCTTAAAGTAAGCTATAACTTGCGAGCTTAACCGAAGCTCAGTTTGTCCTAACTTTATTATTTATTGCATTAATTGTATATTTTGTTCATTGAAAAAAAAAACGAAGATTACTGTATTGTTAATGTTAAGCTATTGTAATTCCATTTTTTATAAACAGAAACGAAACATCACCATACAATTTTGAATAATTATAAGTACTTGACGCACGAACGTTCAGGATAGCGGGTACCACCTTACTATTTACATTAAAAAACTACATTGGTTATACATGGTTGTATAATGCATATATGAATAGAAAAACAGAGCTGTTTATTTTACGCATGTACACATAACTCCGTTGACGATTGTAGAAATCACTTGTTGATTTGCTAAATCTCATATTTGTGCTAAAACCAAGCACTCCGTAAAAAAGTATAACATTTCCATGTATCCATTTAATAAGAATGATATGGTATTTATAATTGCTGGTGATGATGATCTAGTTTTACGAGTCAATTTGGACAGAATGCTCAACGAAGCTAATCAAGATACATACGATACAACAGCGTTGCCAGCATGTACATTTCGTAGCACATACATTTGACAGCTAAACAGTCTGCCTTCACCAGCAGGTTTTGTGACTCTTTGACACAAGCATTAGAAGCAACCGCTTTGACCCACACCCTTTAGCAACCGCTTATATCTAGCCAAACGAGTATTACAGATGTCGGTGACTCACTCCTTTCACTACGTGTCTACCATACTTGACACTCCAGAGAGTTGAGGGCATCATCAAATATCCTTCTCGACATGTTTCCCATTTGGTAAGCCCGTTCGATTCGAGATGGCATTAACGCACTCAGCCTGTCGCTCCAGGAAAGGGACACGCTAATGTCATGTCCACGCTATGCCAGCGCCCATTGCTACATGCACTTATTCGCTTCAGTTTATCCTCTGTTAAAATTCGCGTTGTGTACGTCGTGGACAACAGTTTACTAAACAGGTAGTGTTGGCTTTAATCTAAATATAAATCTTGTATGAAGAAGTTTGGCAACGCCTGACTTTCTGTTAATCTTTTGCCCAGCCGCCAGCAGCCGACATGCGATTAGCATCACTAGGTAGTGGCGCCACCGGCCTCATACTATGGTCACCGTCCTCCCTAATTTTTTTTTTGAAGTTTCAACTTCCGATTTTGTTCTGAAAATAGAAAAGGTACGTGACAATGGATGAAATCAAAATACTGTTTATTTACTAACGAGTGAGATTTTTGATTCATACTCAATTTTAATGCTCAACACTGAAATAAGCGAGGAGCGATCTTACGAAAAAAGTTGAACTTAACGGACCTTATCAACAAACAGGAAAATAAATTGCTAACAAACCTAAACTCAAAAAGAATTGAGCGTTGTTTAAACGTAGTGATTTCACCGGTGCAATCTATGGAAAAAAGATGACCAATGACTTATGCTGTAAGCCTGTATAGGATCTGTACTGGCTTATAGCAAAAACTCTCAACAAATCGTAACTCATCATCATTCGTCCAGACAGTAATAAACGGCAATGTTTCGGCCTTCACGACGAATATCTTAATATTTTATTGAAAATACCGCTGCAAATGCACAAGCACTATATAGTTCTATATATATTATGATAAAATTTTCGCTGTTATTTCACTAGGTCCATATGATCATTCTGCTGGTACCTTAAAATGGCAAATCCTAGAGAAACAAAAAAAAATATTATACTCAGGTGTACATAACGCGAAATGCATTCTAACGAACATGTAATCCTTTGAATTCTGCGGTAGTCGGAAATATGCTTTGACGATTAGTTGACTATGCGCCGACATAGTTTCCGATACGATTCGCGGGTGTAATTTTTTTAATGAAACTTTTATAATATTCTTAATTGTTGTATAATAAGTGCAATACTTCTAAGTAAGCTATAAAGAGGCGTTTTATTATCATTATATGCCAACCTTTAAAGGTTACAATAGCCTCAGTCCCAAAGCTTCCTACCCATTTGTCGAAGCAGACGTTGAACTGGTTACATATATGAATAAGAAATATTCAATTGTATTCTGTGTATGCGAAATCTTACAGAAGGAAAAAAGACTGAGGCAAACAAGCTAAGCAACCATGAAGGAATTTACAATACCGGCCTCGCTAGAGGACATGTCCTCTACAGACATGGGGACATATATGATGCGCCAGGCCTGGGACTCGCGTCAAATTGTTACCGCTTATAAAGAGTGGCAGAATAAAGGCGTTGTACTCGATGATGTTCCGGAACTCGTCCCTCTCTTCTATTCTGCAATTTTGTGAGTGTTCTTTTGTCTTTCACTAAAGTTGTGAAAACGTTCTGTACATTCTATGAATATTCTGTTGTTTGTTCCATCTGAGCTGGACGAGACCTGAAAGAGACTATGATTTTTAATTGATTTGAGCACGTTATCATACAATTTGGTATCTTTTGATAAAAAAAAAAACAGGCATTCGAGTGATTTTTGAAGCAATAACCACGTTTGTTCGATTTACTTGCATATATACAATATAAAAGATAAAATCGTCTCTAAAAAGGCATAATTAAATTTTAGAGAACCTTTATCACATTATTTTTAAATCGGCAGCTGTTCTTTTTTAAGTCACAATTTTTAAAATAGTTCGGACTACTTCATACCTTGCACAAAAAGTGCATATACGTATCAGTCTTACTGTGATAATATAATAAGTCTCACTAAGATTACCTCAGAAAATTAATAGGCATAACGAAATTGAATTACAGAAAAAAAGGGAAAAATATTTCCAATTTTGAAAGTAGTCTCTTCGGTTGCAGACGACAATCTATGTTTAGAACAAAATTTCGCTATCGATGGTTACAAGTTTTCAGCGAGTAATCCAGGTAAAACGTCTGTGACATTTTGGGTTCTACAGAGTTATATTAGAGATTTCTTGTGACTACACAAGTTGTTAAATCCTGACTGAAAACGCCAAAGGTCTCGTTTGCTCAAGTTATTCGAGTATTCTTAGCGTCCTCGCAGCCTATTTACAAATCAACAGTTATAAAGCACAGGCCGATGTAATGTTTTTGTGGACATATATGTTTCTTTTGGACTGTCAACTTCATTTTTCAGAAACATATCAGACCTAAGCGAGTTCATGCTGACCGACCTATGGCGTTTAATTTTCAAATATGTCAATAAGCTCGACTCAGCTTTACGCAAAGTTGCCCAAGGTGAACATCCCGGTCCAGAGGAACGGCGGTGCCTGTCTATTGAAACTACCATTGTCGTGTATTTCTTTGGACAGTATATCCAGGCGGTAAACGGTGAGACCAATAAGAGCTCTGTAGCATTTGATCCTGTGGCAGAGAAACAGAAGAAGGGGCGTAAGAAAGGTCCACAAGGAGTTGGTCGTTTTGCAAACTGGGAGACAGAACGAATCACTGCCCTTGAGGCAATCCTGCAAATCTTCGAAGCGCCTTTGAAGGATATACTTTCAGCCAATGTGGCAGATCAACTAGGTAATACAACGGCTCATATGGTCTACCGATTATTAGGAAACGTCTCTGTATGCAGAGATAGTGAAAGCAGCGACCTTTGTGTGGGACTGCTCACCTTGCTTGTGACTCGCTACGGACACGGTGCTTTGTGCCCGTACCAAATACCAGCTTTACTGTCAACCTCAGAACATGCAGTTCCAGTCCTTGGGCGAGTCTTTGATGAAATCGTCAACCGTCATTCTTATGTAGCGCTACTGCCGGACCTTATGCGAGAATCAACAGCGCTGTCCGACACAGCGCCAGGGGACTCGTTGGTTATCAAGAACACAGCAGAATTCCTTCTTCAGCTTTGCAAGCGCATTGGCACTCACCTACTGAATTTGCTGGCATACATTGATGCCCTTCTCAATTCACCGAACTTTTCTTTAAGAAACGCTGCGCTGTCGGCCATGGGCGAATTGGTAAATGAAATTTTAATCCCTTTGCCTTCCCTGCCAACGTAATTATTTTTACAACGTACCCGTTTTTATGCTATTTTCTTAGGTTAAACTATACTTAATACTAAATTTCGAAGTGAACAACAACCTGTCAGTTCGTTAAAGGTTGATTCATTTTCTAAAGATATAAAATGCAAAATGATAACTTACGCTTTCTGAATTAAAAATTTCGAGTCCCGCCATTCACGTTAAGCATTGTCGCAGAATGCTTGCATAATATTAGCACTTTTTACCTAGTCTTAAGAACTGCAGTTAACAATTATTGTTATTAAGTAAATAAGTGCGCTTTGTGCTTGTATTTAGATAAAAAGTGTATTAACAAAAAAGGACCTAACGGAAAAAGAAGAAAGAATTCGTGATCAGATACTGGAGGAGATTATGTCGCACAGCAACGACTTATCATCGCACGTTCGGGTGCGTTCTGTTAAGTTGTTGAGCGAGCTATTGCAGTCGAATAGTCTGCCTATAGCGAGACAACCTGAGATTGTATCTCTCGTGGGTCGACGACTCTCTGACATAACCGCCCCTGTCCGCAAAGCGGCTGTACAATTCCTTATGGACTATGTCGACTACAACACATTTTTAAGCGAAATGGACCCTGCAAAACTTGATGATATTATTGAAAAAAAGCAAGCGGTTGTCGCCGAGCTTCGTGAAGAAATTGGAGTAGACCAGAAAACTATGGACGAGTGGGATGAGGTCTCAGCTAAAATGATGTCCTACTTTCGCGAACATGGTAAATCATCAATCATTACGCGAAAGAAACATGATGCATTAATTATCTAAATGCACGGACGTGTCCAGCATCTTTCTGTATATATAAATATATACATAGCGTATTAATCCGATCGTTTCATTACAAGCGTCTGCGTGTCTTACGCAATATAGTTTTATTTGAGTAAATGCATGCATTTTGAAATAAACAGTGAAATATATATAAGAGTACGTTTATTCCAACTCTTCTTAACATTGTGGAAACCAACATCCGTAATAAGACATCATATGTCCAAAAACGTTGTATCTAACAAAATGCAGTTCCAAGAGCTTATGTATGACTTAGATCAAGCTCTGAATAAGTTCTATGCATTCTGCTAAAATTTTACTATTTTTTTCTTACCTATTTTTTTCTATCTTATCTACTATCTTTTTCAGATATCCCTCCGATGCCAAAGGACATGAATGACCTAGAGCGTCCTAAAGGCTCTGTTCAAAAGGAGCTGAGTAACGTCACCAAACTCTTGGATGACGGAAAATTTACAGAAGCTCTGCAACTCGTTCAAAGGTGTTTCTATTGGTTCCAGGAATGTCCACTCTTTGCCAAGAACGATACAGAAAAAAATAGAGATAGTGCAAAGAGTAATGATGATGGCAAAGAAGAGCGCACCGAAGAAAAGCAATCACAAGATACACTAGGGGATTTTGAAAGAGAAAATGACGAATCGGAAGAAAATAGTGATGGAAAGGTCGATGATAATAGTTCTAGAAAACAAAACCGAAAATCTCGGACAAATAAAACAACTATCAATTGGTTTACCGTTGCAATGAAAGTATACATGCGCAAACCGCCCAAGAAGGCAAAGAAAAACCAGAACCTTGATGAGCATGATGAGATGAACAGTTCACACGAGTTAACGGAGCAGGTACGGCCAACCGTGCATACATAATGCGTTACGTTCACAGTATAGGGAGACAATAGCATGCATAATTAGAAAATCATATACAGAGTCCAAATAAACAAGCTTGAATAGGCTGGATTACATCGTCAGACCGATACAGCTAAATTTCTGGCTGTGTAACTTGGATCCTAATGGGTTGAGTCTCGTTTTTGCAAGAGATTTGAGATCAGCTGGATTTTGGGAAATTTTAAACTTTTTCGTATAGAATAACTTACAACAAATATCAATTACTAACTTTAGGAGACGAAGTCTGTTGGTAGTATTCTTTTAAATGATCACGTCACCAAAAATATAATGTGTTTCTTAAGCAAGATAATTATTTTCGTCATTTGTACGTTCTTGCGATTTACTTTAGCAAATCCAAACCGAGCATGAAATTCTGGTGTCAAAGTTGGAGAAGCACGAGAAAGAGTTGGTGGCATTATTGCAGCTTAAACACTACCTAACGGTCTACTCAGCAGCATTGCCACAAATCAACCTAATGCTGCAATCGAAGACACCCTCTGATATCCTGGCGGCTATTTCCTTCTTCGTACATATAATAACCGCTGGCATACCCGTAGGCACGCGCAGTATCTCAAATATGGCTCATCTATACGGTCACAAGGAGGAGTCAGTGAAGAAAGCTGTCGAGGCTGCTTTCGAAAACCTGTATTTGACATGTGACTCGAGCGACATCCGAAAAAACTGCGTGAGTGTCGCTAAAAAGCTCATCGGACTCCTGATGCACTGCAACACAAACGAAATGGAAAGATGGGGCCGTGTAATTGCGGATTTAGTTGCCACGAGAAAAATACCAAGTGATGTCGTTATGGTGAGTGAGCGCCTGCAAATAAAGCATCTAATGTATGTAAGTTAAATTAGAGCCGCAGCTCTAATATGATTCTATTTTATGTTGTTGCAGTAGCTAACAATTATTAACATGAAATTATAACGAATATGTCATCACTAGAGTTCAGTTGTAGATTTCTTGTGAAATATAACAAACATCGATTGCAACTATGACGTTGCAGGTCTTCTTCGAGATCGTCATGCAGAAACTAGGACCGGAGCAAATGTTTACCAGGGTGACCGCCCTCCTTCTGATCGCCAAGTGTTCTCTTAAGAAGCCTTCTATTGTTCAGGCGAATCTAACTACCATACAGGAGCTCATATCAGAACCAGCATTTACTAAGTTGGTACACTTTATCGAATATCGAATATAAATTATTGTTTAAAATACTATTTGCAACAAGCAAGTAAGCAGATTATTTCACACATATAACCATAATTTCAATAAATTTCCATTACCTTACATTGCCGCAAGTCTCATAAAGATGATGAAAGCTCTAAGATCTAATGAATGATTACGATGAGGAGGTGTCATTTTATTAAATTTTCTTTAAATAATAACAAAGACTGTTGTATGACGTTGTACTAGGACAAAAAATTGATGTTGTATTATGCATTCTCTATTAGAAATAATGTTCTACTGGGTCATGAGTTTCAACTTTGCCTTATCTCTTAAAATTGCACCTTTTTTTCGGTCATTCGCAGATGTTGTATCATGGCCTTATCCAACCTCGAGTTAGAAGTCCGGTGGGATATTGACCACGAGTGTTACGGAATTATTACGAAGGTTTTTGTTGCCAATTTGACAAATTCTCAGTGGTCACAATGGCCAAGCAGCTTTTTTGCAGCTACTGAGCTTATTTTTAAAACGGCTAAACAACCTATCAAACTTCTGTCGAATATTGTCAACAATATTCTCGCTGTTTTCAACGACAAATCGGTATGTAGATCACGTTTATACGGAAAACATATACAATCGAGCTGTTATTGGCTAGGAAGTTAGCATCTTGTTTAAAACAGCGTTATATTAATGGTAGAAAACAGGTCCTTTAGAAGGACGCTTATTCCTAATCATTCGTAGCACCCAACAGCAGCATATAGAAAAACGTTATGGAAAGCCAACTAATGAGTACAATATGGTGCCATTACTATTGAGCTAGAGTTGCAGCAGTTACGGTGCTGGAATAAATAACATTTTGTTGCTTAGCAATAGGAATGTCAGTTGACCGCACAAATTTCAACTTCGTATTACGGTTTGAAAGCTTGAGCTAATGAGACATTGCACAATTGTTAAGACTTAAAGAAACTAACGTGATACCTGTAAATATAATTTTCGTGTGTTTCGCTTGTTGTAGTCCTCTCTGCAGTGCTCCCGAATTTTGTCGATGGTCCAAGCTATTGCAGCTCGACTATACGTTTTCATGGATATCGATTTTTATGGAAAACTACAGGATGGTAAAAAGAAGGAAACAAAAAAGGGCCGAAGCGGAAGAGAAGCTACTAGCCGAGGGAAGGGCCGTAAAAGTTTATCCGAGTCTCGACGTAATGCCTCAGCAAACGCATCGGTGCTCGTGGATGATGCAGACCAAAGCGTTCTGGTTGGAGCCGTTGCAGATGAGACCGATGCTGAACTGGTCATTTCGCTGATGGAGAACGAAATTATGGCTGAAGAGCATTTCTTAGGTGCCTTTCTTCCATTTATTGTTAACATTCTTAAACACCATAAGGAGTTCCCGTGTTCACGACTGCAGCAACAGGCGACAGTATCGCTAATCAGTCTTATGCTACTTAGTAATCTAGTATATGATAATTACATATCTCTTATCTTCACCATTCTCGAGAGATCGCCCGATGAACTGCAACGTCAATGCATTGTCACCTATATTCCTGATCTTTGCAAGTCGTTCCCGAACTCTTTTGATCCCTGGACAACAAAGGTAGATGCATTCTTAGCTGTTTTTCTTATTCTGTAGAAGATATTCATGTTAGCGAATTACGCTTTCGTATAAATCAACTTGAATTACCTGGCTTATCTCATTTGCTGCTATAAATTAAGGCTCATCCTGAAATTTTTTATTTTGTGCCTGTCTCTCTAAATAGGTGTACGAGATCCTGAAGCGCGAACGCTCCTTCAATGTACGCCGAAAATGCATTCTGATTTTATCAGATTTGATCATGCACGATCAAATTAAAGTGAAGGGTACGATTAGCGATGTGGCTTGCTGCTTACTAGATCCGCATGCGGACATTGTGCGTATGACTGAATCGTTATTTCAACAGCTGGCCATGAAAAACAATTCGCTTTATAATGTCCTACCCGACATTATCTCACGATTGTCTGATCAGCAGTTCGGCGTGGAACAAAGCGATTTCAATAAAATAGCTAGCTTTCTTTTTAAGCAGCTCAGCAAGGATAAGAAACTGGAAAATTTTGTTGAGAAACTTTGTGGTCGATTCCGTTCATCAACGTACGTATCGGGAAGATCTTCTAAATATAGAAACGTTTTAACAACTTAATATATAAAACCTGACAGTGGCATACGTTGTCAAAAGTGAAGTTCAGATTAGATGCGAATTCTTTTTTTTGAAAACATTTTACGAATACATTGTTTTCTGCTTTGCGCTGCAGGATGTTGAATTTCTTAGTAACATTGTAAAATAATTTAGCTATATCAAAGCGAGGAAGCAAAAGCTTAGATTGATTCGATTTCGTTATTATGCCTTTCTAAATGATATCGGGTTATAATAAATTGTTACCATCGCCGAGCATGACGAGCTTAGGGGGATAAACAGCATTTGGAAACCTTTTGTTTACATATGTTAGTTTGCATTGCGCCATTTTTGAAAGGAGAAAATTTTAATAGAGTGACTTGTGGTTGTCGAGGGCAATTAGTTTAACGGTCATTGACTTTAAATAATTGTACTGAATCGCACAGAACGGACATGCAGTGCCGAAACTTGGCCTTCTGTCTTAAGCAGATTCCTTATACGGAGCGTAGTCTTCGCAAATTGATCGATAATGTGTCCTGCTATGCGGACAAGCTCATCGACAACGACATTTATGATGCTTTCGTGAGCATCTGCATTCAAACGGCCAAAGGTGCCAAAAGCGAACTCAAGGTAGGTTTTGCCGTACAGGACCTTAGATCGAAGGTGCACTGCTATCAATATTATATAGATTTATATGTATAGTTGGCTCAAAGAATACCTCTTTCAACCAATAATTGCACTGTAATGTCGCTTTTATTCACTAAAATTATGTTTGCTATAACATACAGCTGGTGGTGACAGAGTTCGAAAATTGTCTCGACGAGGCGCGAAGTACGTCCGATGAAGGTAAGGAGAGCAATGCCGAGAGTAAGGATGGAGTCACTGAAAGTGAAACTTCATCGCAAACTTTTCGCACCACGTCGCAGAGAATAACGATGTCCAGCCAAGGTCACAAAGCGGGCAGCATCACATCCACGAGAGGCAAGTGCACTATAGAAGCAATCCCGTTAAAGCATTGACAATTAAACCCCAAAGGGATAAGCACAGTACAGCAGTAGATGTGTAAAGCAACTTTAGTAAAGAAAAGCCATAGCACACAGATGGCCACTTGCGAGGATTCTCAAGTGACATGTTATATCAAACGAACCAGAACGAATTAACTCTAACAAATTGGCAAGAAGCTTCTTACTATTCATTCAATAGAGATATATTATTATGAAGAACATCCTTCAATGAATTGCACCAATGTTTTCGGTTAATCAGTGTAGAAAAACATACATACCTAATCGCGGATGTTACTTGCGGATGTTCCGCGCGGGCCACGGTGGATTTTAAATATTAAGGATTCATTAAAGTTTGACAGAGTAATAGAGAATTTTAAAAAGGAAAGTAAATTTCAGGTCGTCGAACAGCTGCAAAAACACCAGGGAAGGCGCCCGAAACGCCGGGGCGGTGGAAGAAAGTTGCTAACCTAATGGACAGTGATTCCGAAGAGGAGCAGCAAGTTTCAGACGTTGAAATTATGGTGGAGAAACGATCGAGTCGACAGCTCAAGGTTTGTTGCCCTTCTGTAAATTATTCAGTATCATTATGTACGCGAATCTTTGATAACAGCTACTTGCGCTTATTTATACATGCGCATTCATCTAATTGACACAGTTTATGCCTTTAAATCTCAGTTCAGGGTTTATCGCTGTCTGTGCGAGTACGTCCAATTCACTTTTGATACCGACTAAATGATTTCTCAAGTTTTCTACAGGTTTTCGTAACGCAGTACTATTCTAAACTACGAAAAATGAATTGATCTGACTTTACGACAAGTTTTTTTCTTTATGATAAATACGTCTATCTATGATTTATGCGTGGGAAAGGGCCAGAGTATCGACAAATTGACCCAATTAGATACCATAACGTGTTGCATCAAGGGTGTGCTTATATATACTATCTATTGTGGAAAACACGCGTAGGTGAACTGCGTTAACAAGTAAAAAATCACAAGAGACTTTAGAGTATCCACGGCCATCGGATTGCTATTAATTGGTGTGCTGATGTTATCATTATAGACTAGCAAACGCACCTCAATAACCATTATTTGCATATATTATCTCCCGAAGTAATTATTGTTAATATCTTTCCCTTATGTGCCTAACGATAATAATGAGTTTATTATTCTGCAAGGCCAATGTTACGGTAATAATCACTTACGGTCGTGGTAAGTTTCAATATAATGGCTCGTAACTATGCAGAGTTGCCGTTATAGTTGGTTTAGTAGGAAGATTAGCTTTCGTCTGCTTTTCATTTCTCCAAACAATAACAAGCAATATCATTTCGAATAAAAAGCCTTCTGGAGCATTCCAAAAATGGTGTTACATTAAAAAAATTGTTTGTTTCTTGTATAAAAAGTGAAGTCGACATAACCACTTTAATTTTAATTTAAACGCAGGGATGTAAAAACTATCAATGAATGATCTGTTGCTGACAGTGCAACTGATTGTACGGAGATTACAAAGGATTACGTATATCATACATGTGTAAAAATTACATTCAACCTGCCCTCCTTTCAAAAACATAACTTCTAGGTTTAGTAGGTGAAGATTACTTTGTTTAACTAAAGAAATGTCTGCTCGATCCCTGATGTGGAACGCTCATAATTCGCGTGCGAAAATGGATAGCTAAGTTTAATTTCTTAATGTTGTGTCTTATGACTGCTATGGTTTCAGCGTTTAAACGCCGAAGGAATGCCCGTTAGTACCCACACATCGAAAAGGACCCGAAGGTAGCGATTACTTGGATTCGCCTAATTAGAAGGTGCTTATTCTGCAGATCAGTGACCGGGCTGCTTAAAATCATTAGCCTGGCTACAGAAAAAAAGACAAGAGCTTACATTGTGAAGCTCATATTTTTCTTCGGTTTAAATATGATAAACTTAGCCATAGATACGCAACAATTATCGCGGTGGCGTGAAAATTTGTTTGTACACGTAATGGATATGCAAACTGATAAAATAGTATTTGAGAGACACGAAATTGTACAATTAATTTCCTAGCACTCAAATAAAGTTATTTTAACAATTATATATATGTGAAATAACTAAATTTCTCTTGTACAGATAACGTAATATAGAAATATTCTCAGTATATGTATAAATGTAGTACTGTGCCTTTATGATTTAGAGAAGCATGGAAAACTATTTTTAACCTTTTAGCAAAAATCTATTTCCTTAGACCCATACCACAAAATATTTAATCGCTATCCACTTCGTGTGGTTTTGAAATGAGATCCAGAACATTTTGTCGAATAGTTGATTTAGCTGTTCGACTGAATTTGAAAAGGACCCTTACACAACCTCAATTAGGCATCTTCTACGGGCAAGTTAAAAAAGAAAACTGCTTGGGAGAAGTTAAACATACTGTAGGAGAACCTGAATTTTCCACAGCTAATCGTAGGGGGTACATAACGTAGGGTCAAAGAAAAACGGCCTATCTTCTAAGAATGCAAAATCCAAGTCCAAAATCAAGCTTCTTCTCGGCATGTTTTTCGAGCATAAAGGGTCGTGCACTATAAGCTCATGTTAAACAGTTATACTATCACTGAGATGTATTACTGCGAGATTATAAGACATAATAAGATAAGATGCTGTCTGCTATGATAGGGCTGAACTCTAAAAAAAATCATGGAGTCTTCACCACAATAACGCACCGCCTCATGCATCATTGCGTTTTTTGTAAAAAAAACTTGATGCCTTTATAACTGTAACTCCTTTGCAGCACTCCGTGAGCTCTTTTCGGAACTCAAGAAACACCTGAAAAGTAGTGTTGAAAAGATCACGACGCACGGACGCTAAGATCATGAACGCAATCATACATAACTGCGGTATAAATACTGTTCTGTAATAAAGCAATATCAGCTTCACCGATCCATATGTTGTAGAACTATTAGTTTATTTGGACCGGATTACTGAGCTTCTCATGACTCCGACATCGCATATTTTTCCGCTTTTCGAAATTAACCTGATTTTTCTGTTTTTTTTTTTACACGCCTCAATGTTTAGCTAGCCCTTTTGTACTCGTTATTGGCCGTGAACCACTTGTATAAGCTTCACAGGTGACTAATGCATAATTTTCAAGGGCCAAGCCAAATGCATAGATGGTATAACTCAGTTGACAAGGGCTTCTCGCGACCTTAAATGCTAATGACAACGCTATTTTATTCAGTCAACAAAAAACTATCCCTTCACCAAACTCATATTACTTAACTGCTTAGCCACCTGAAGGTAGGACCTTTAAAATGCGTTCTTTTTGGCAAAAAAAAAAGTTTTCATAACAATAACAAAGCGTGAGGTATCCGAACGTGCTACGCAACCACTATTAAAAACAATTTTAAATAACTGCTTCTTTGCTAAAATAGCAATCTTCATCATAAAAATAACCGAACCGAGCCAAAAAAAAACAATGTTTAACATGTATTGACTCATTCTTTTACTGAACGAAAGCATAAAATTAAACGAACCCTATGAGTAACTATAGCATTCTAGATAAAAGCTGATGCCGCGAATCGCACGTGACTCATGTGCGTGAGTAACTCCAACGTCGAAATATTTACATACAGGTAAAGCATATTATCATCCATCCTAAAATAGCAGCAGTATAACTAGTGTCACCGCCATCGTGTACTGACAGCGTCTCTATTTACCAAGCTTGAAGATATACGTAATTTGTGATTGACAGTAATTTTAACATTAAAACTAGCTATAATGGTATTAAGTACCTGATACAAAGTAGGTACTTGATAGAGGGAGTTGAAGATTCCACGCCCACCGTATTAAGAAGCCAGCTGCTCGTTTGACCCTCTGCGGCGATAAAGCGCCGGAAAATTGTATGAAGCAATTTCACAGGTCCTCTATACACTTCCAGTCTTATTCATTCTAATTTACCGTTGCAAGCTTTCAATCAAGAAAATGTCTTTCGGCTTCTCATTTGAACGCAGTAGACAGAATTTGCTCTTTGAAATAAATGGTTGCGTTGCCAACATTACTATATATATATGTTAAATAATGGTATGTAATTTCCGGCAACGTGGTTCATCTATAGGATGTAGGACTAGGACGGTGACAATTTATCGAAGGTATAGGTTCAATATTAAATGTTGTAGCTTGTTGCATATCAGGCTTTGGTTGTATTTATAACTCTTATGGCTTAGAACGCTTGCCAACTCCCATAATAAGGAACAAGAAAATAATTGCAAAACTTCGCTTGTATTACCTTACTGTTCTTCTTTAATTCGCTATTATAGTGCGAACATCATCACTATGTAGTATAGTTCATCAGATTTTTATTTCTATGTTATCGTATTTAACGAATAGCTAGAACTGCTGGAATTAAGTACCTGCTATTTTGCAAAGATGCGTTTATCACTCCGCCGAATACAAAAATCATCCGCATTTTACTTGTCTTCTGGCTTTGGACTGCAAGACTCAAGTAACCTAACCTATAAACCAATCTAAAACAACAAGATTTTGTGTTCATAAATTGCCTCCTCTACACGAGTATTCACTGTGTAAGGCCAGGAAGAAGCGCGCGGTGATCTCCAAATGATTTTGCGGCGACAGTCAGAGCAGGATGAAGACATTCAGTGTTTTTTTCAGCAAGGCCTATTAAAAAAATAATTTCAGATAATAATGCAACTTTTTGTAGACTTTTCACACTCTCACGAGACAAGACAAACATCCTTAATAAAACCCTGTTGGCACTACGTGACATTCGATTCGAGCTATAGCTCAGAAACATATTTCTTTCTTTTACTAAACAGCCGTACTTTCCAGTCACGTGACCATGGTGGTGCCACAATATCCTGTACTTTATAATGCTTTCCTTATAAATGCTAATTTTTAAGTACCCCACATAGTTATTCTATGTAGTCCTTTATCGCAATATGGGTAGGGAGATGGTACTTCTATGATGATTGATAACACTGTGAATGTTCTAAGCACCAGTCAACCTAGAAGTTAAGAAGAATAAGGTACCAACTTCTACCATCTTCTCCAGTAATTTACAGTAAATATGGGATGTGCTTCGCTATAACGATGGACTCATCGTGAACTTGTTAAGGGCTTTTAATCAAGCATCAATCAGATGAAAACATTTTTAGTGGAAGTAATTCTCTATTTTTTTTTTAATTTAAAAGAAATAGAGATTCAGTTTAGGGAACAATTTACAAAATTTAGAGAAACACTTCCAGTTCTCTGAAAATGCTTTTTTCAGCAAAGATACGTAATTTAGCTCCTCAAATAGCCATAAACCCTTTTGCCAGTATCTCCGGCAGGAAGATGGGCTAGTGTGACCCATTTCCAACGCAAGTGAGAAGTATTTCTGTTTCGATACCTCCGGGACGGTTCCACTACTCAGAATCTGTATGGCCCGTTTTGCAAGCTAAGCGAATCTATTGACTGTAAGGGTACTGTCAGGCCTAAGGACCTGTTCTATTTCTAAACGTGTGCTACTAGTGACCTATGAGCTCTTTCTCTCCGTGTGCTTTCCCTATAGTACGAAACTAAAGCTCAAACGAATGAGAAAAACCCATACATGGCTTTTATGTCATCCATTAACGTGGCTCTGCTTCCTCTGCCTTAAGCTTCATTATATTTTATGGATGTTCCCAAAGACCCTCCTTAGCTTCTAGTAGGTGTTTCTTCCGGCAACTCCTTTTGCTTTTAGAAATCTTTTTTAAGCGTCACTCTTGCGTTGTTTGTAGTTACTAGACGTCTTATCGAATTCTTGCGGACAGCCAGAAATTCCTATTGACCGTAGTTACTTCCTAATTCTGCTGCATTTGCGCCCTGTTTTTGCATTTCACCAGTTTTTAAGCTATTCCGGATCTTTTTTCTTACAATGAAACATATATACACTTCCACTAGACGCTGTAAAATAGTCGTGTCTTATAATTTTCCGCGCCAGGCTATGTTAACGATGACTCTTTTTTTAACATCTCAAGCCTTTAGTTGAAATGATACGTTTGCCGACGCTATCTGTATGCTGTCATACGATTCATTTCGAAGTCGTTCGCAACCCAGATCATAAACTTGTGCTTCGGGTGGACCATATCATGAGATCAATCGATAAGGCCTCGGATACTTATTAAAAGGGAGTAATCGATTATGCGTTTAGCGTTTACAAGGCCTCAGTAATCACCTGTTTGCCTATTACGTACGTTCCCTAGCTGTGCGGGCCGGGCTTTTTATGATAAGGCTGTGGTAAATTTTTCAGCGGTAAGTACCGTTACTTAATTTGCTTCTTTCATTGACTTTATATGGGCTTCAAAAGGGTTCACTTTCCAGGTCCGCTTAAGTTGCAGTAACATTGCTATTAGGGACACATGTACCTTTGAATCTCACCGCTGCGCAACCCCTGTCTTTTTTGCTTTTCGTCTCATTACTAGCAACATTCCTGCTGCAAACATCCTGATCCCTGTCCGTAATCAAATGTCCATGAACAAGTGACTTATTCGACTCTCTAGGTGGTAACCGCTTCATCCTTCTCCGGTTTGCTATTTCTTGGCGAAGGGCATAAATCGCTTTGCTCCATGGCATGGAGTGCCCTTCGCATCTTTCAGGTCTCTTTCAGCCTCGATGTGCGAAATGGCGCTACTTGCATTGTTTGTACTTTCGAGTATTTTGACCTCTTGAGTTGAACTCTGCCTAAAAATTGTCGACGCTTAGCTATCTAGTGTTTTTTGTGGTGCTAAAAGATAGATCAGAAGTTCAAGGATTTGCTTTAGGGCGAAGTCCGCACTCAGCGCATGTTTGTCTGAATGCTGTCTTAATCTTTCGGGCAGTCCGTGGTGCTGACCGCGAGTTTCTTTTTATTACAGTTTCAATAGAAAGAGCTTTTCGTACGATTTCTTGCCATATTCCTGTCTCTTCAACAAGTTGGTTTATGCATTCTGCAATCACAAGACCCATTTGATGACATTTTTGGCAGCGAAGCTCCGAGCTTCCTTTTAGCAGCAGTCTTAGTTAAAAACCTCGTTACAATAAACGTTTTATCCGTGGTAACTCTAATCGGCATGTTCAAAATGTAAGCCAAAAGAGCATAAAAATAACTGGTGACCTTTACAGCCATTCTCCCGACTAGACTGATAAATTTTTCAGATCAGTCTTTTCCAGTTTAACCTGACCCATTGGATACCCAACACCTTCAGGAAGCCTTCTTATCCTTTTTGTCAGCCTTTCTTGATCAAAATCCTCATACGCCATTTTGTGGCTCGATTTGAATATTGTCCTTATTAGAATTCACGTTTCGCTGAATCATATATTCAGTATATCAGCGAAAGAAGACCCATCAGCCCGCGTTTTAGAATAACCCCTACTTTGCTCACATCAGGCTCCGACTATTCAGGAACTTTATTGCTTGCAAAACATCTGCAGTTGCAATTTAATAACGGCAATTTCTACTAACTTTCGTAGGTGGCCTTCATCCTCCATACTGATAATATAGAAGAATGCAGCCGCAACCGAGAGGTTTATTAAGAGGCAACTCCGAAAACTTACCCAATCACAGGGCCATTATGAGCTGGCATATATGGCTTCGGCAGACGAGCTAGACCAAAGCCCTTAGGAAGGCCATGGCATCTTCCTTCAATTTCTATTTAGTTCAAATGGTAATTTCGCCCATCTGGGTCATCGCTTCTCTTTAAAGGTTGTTAAATCGGGACGTCATATCATTCCATAGCAGATCATCCGTCGCATCCTTTTCAAGTGCAAGGAGTATATGAAGTAATCCTTCTTTCAGAATGAGCCTCTGGGGCAGGTGGTATGTGTACATAGACCTTTTGATACCCTCACGGCAAGATTTTCCACAGAATTACATCCTTCAATTTCCTCCTGATGATCTGAAAAGAGAGTGTTTTCTGGAGTCGCATGTACAAAAAAATCTTGCTGTTGCTTTCAAGCGCTTCAATAGGTATAGACAGGCAAGCAAGGGAGGCGTACATGACTATTTTTCTTCTGTGCAATCTGCTTGCAAGCCCTGGCTGCTTCCATGATGTTCGAAAAGCAGACTTTCGGGGTGGATGTTGGAATGAATACAGCTGCCCACCCTTTTATCACTATCCCTAGATGTCCAATTTCTTAATAAGATCTCCCAGTGCAGACGAGAAGTTATTTCCAATTTTCCAGAGTTCGGTTCAGAAATCTTTCGATCAGACATATACTTTACAATAGAGGTCCAGCGGCTTAGACGTTGTTAAACCTGCTCTATTCCCAGGTGGTCCTCTTACTATGTCGGGTGTTGGCGGATTGTGGAACAGTGTTCCCGTTTTATACGATTTTCGTGTGAAATGCTTTCATTATTTCTAAACCTTGTTTATTTCAAGGCCGACTTCTGTGACGTAGTCATTAAGAGTTGCTAGAATCTGTTATAAGCGAACTTTATTCACAGCATGCTCTGCGAGGTAATTGGTATACAAGACCGATTCTCAAAATTAGATATCGTCGCTCGGTGCGAAAGGCGAGATTATTAATGCGAAACCAGAGAAACACTGAATTCGTGTTTTTTCTTTACCCCAATTCAACATAGTTCTTCCGCGACGCTATCATCATATTGTATGATCAAAATTCTATGGGACCTATTTCTTTGGCAGTTTAACACCTTCGTTATCATTTATCGTAATGTCAGTTTGGTCGGTACAACAAATTTTGATCCTGAGGATATCGCTGCCTTAGATCCATTAATAATGGGGTCTTAGGAGACTAAAAATGATACTTTGAATTTTTTGTTTATAATTGTTTCCATAAATATTTGACAATATATCAGGCGGCTACAAGCAAATCTACCGGACTTCGAAATTGGATAACTTTTGAACTTGTTAGGCTAGAATAAGGATTTTTTAATATATGTTATTATGTGTGTAATTAGACTTACTTGTTAAACTTTTTACATATTTGTCCCAGTGTTATGGCAGATTCAGGACAGCCATATACCTGCCGTTCTTTTTGTCATATCTATTTCCTCTACTTATGGGCTGCTCGGGATAAATTGTTAGTGGGATATGCTTGTCCATTAATCGCCCTTTTTAGGGCTTGGAAAGTGCGGAATTTCATGGGCTTAGATTGGCAGAATAAGTGGGTTGAGGCCAGCCTTGGATATCCATTTGCTTCATCCAGGTAACTGAGGCATTGTGATAACGGCTGGCATTGTCGTTGCTTTTGATTGCCGTGCCACAGTCCATGGGTCTCTTAAAGAACTCGAAATGACGGCTACATTCATTGTTTCATTTTCAATGAATATCTCATAGTAGCAGATGGCCGTGATGTGCAATGCAGGTATCACCTAACGTCCAAGCCTTTTCAAGATTACTATCGAACTCGGTTTCTCTTAAGGGCAATAACCATTATCTCACCTAGTTCTTTTCTGGCTGAGGGTACAGATTGATGTCTCGTCTACTCGTGTTTCCAATTGATTTGGGATCAAACTACGGGTGACCCATTTTTCACTTAATTTCTGCATTCTCGGTATTTTTGTAACAATTTTGTAATGCGCTTGCTATTTAATGCCCATTTTCACCGACAAAGCTACTGGACTTGTTTATTAGCATGAAATGTACTCTGGGGCAATCGAATCCTAAAAATGCTGGCGAGTATGCGACAAATGAAATACAACAATGTTCTTAGATATTGGGCAACACTTAGCGTTAACGCGCGATCCGTAGCGGATGTTCGCTATAGTCATTTGATTCGATGAATTTAATCTATACGATACTGGCTAAAAAACCATCAAAAAATATGGATCGAAGCCTTATCGCCAGTATCTGCTAAAAGATCATTAAGGGAGAAAATACATTTCAATGCCTGGGTCTACTTTGACTCTACCGCCCGTCCGACTTCTACTACAAATCCTGCCATCGATTACATACACATCTTATTACAGATAATTCCGTTGAAGCCTACTGCATAATTTTTGTGCGTAGTGATTGTCCTTCTAGCTGATTATCAGCTTGACAGTACATAGATGATTAGGCAAACAGTATGACGTCAGTCTGCTAAAACTGCATGCATATCAGACAAGCGTTAACACAGACACGCAGACATTTAGCTTTCATATAAAACTTTCTCGTTTCTGCTAAAAAAAGCAAAAGTGTCATTTCAGCTCTGTGATTGACTGGGATATCTAGGGATCAACGCACACGTGTGAATAATTATTACGGACATTTCTCATTTCCTCTGGTTTTAATTTCGATTTATCTGCCACTTACTAGTCATCGAAGGCCATCATCCCACAATTCACATAAATGGGACCGCGGGCCATCATGGCTTTGTGATGTAACCCGTCACCATCATATCTGGTATAGTTTGCTAGGAGCCGGGAATTGCCAATGGGTATAGGCATCCAAATCAGGAATGCCGGACTAATCGGCTTGAAGCATGAGTATGTATAGCATCGTGATAGATTATGCGCTTTTCCCAAACGCATGTATTGCAGTCATGGCACGTCCTCACTGAGTACGCACTCAAAAACCTAGCAGTCATGCAGATCTTTGCGCTTGCACAGGTTTTACTTAAACAGGTCATGGCATATTAAACTACACTTAATAAAGTTTTTGTTGCTCCGTATAAATGTGTTTGGATGAGAGTGATCGCATGCAATGCATGTATTATTAGCAGGACTGTTTCCCTGGCCGCTCTGCCATCGAGTAGGCTGTTCGTACCTAACCTGCAAGTTCTGACGTCATGCTTACATTGGTTTCTTTGTATTGGTAGACCCTTTACAAACAATAGAGATGCCCACTGCGGCCGTCAGGCCAACAGATCACTTATAAGTCATATTCTGCTGTTGTGAACATTCTAGAAGGGCCAACTTCATATACGCCAAACTCGGTCGGTGCTTTCGAACCTAACTGCTCGTGAATAAGGGTGCGTACAGGTTCAAAGATGAACAGATAGAGTAGGCTGGATATCGGACGCGATTCCTAACCTATAAGATGGTCGTGTAAAGTACTCAAAGACATCGTGTAATGTATTCGTGCATTATTCTATAATGAAGCGTTGACTGCATATTTATGCTGGAACAAATCACCGTGCTGTCGAAAGAAACTTTTACCAAGGTAGGCTCTAAGTTTTGCGTTTTTACGTTTAATTTATACGTAATTCAATTCGCAGCGGAGCCGCGCAGCAAGCGATACGTCCTATGTGGTAATAACATTGCTGAATTGAAGCATTAGCGAACTTGCAGCGTACGCGTACGATTGAGTGGTAGTTTCAAGCGGGAAAATCCTTTCAGAAATTCTGACGATACTTCGGAATTCCCCTAGTTTCTGTACATACGATTATGGGCAGAGGCTGCTGTAGTCGATAGAGTAGGTAATTTACGGGTGAAATTTGGATCCTATTGGGGAGAAGGGGCATTTTTTATAGAATAACGATACCGTGTTGTAGAAGGGAGACATCTTGATTGATTCAGCCGCATGAGCTATTGAATACTCCAAGGGGAACTGCAACAATGAGATTTGTTTCCTCGAAGAATTTGTTCGTTTGTCTTTGTTACAGTTTCACGTTCTATTACTCGATTGATGAATTACATTGCCCATAGTTGCCCTACATATACAAATCACAGTGTTTTATCAAGCATCATCGCATTTTATATGGTGGTCTTCGTGGAAACTGGCAACTTATGTAACATTTTCTAATCTAAAGTAGCCGTCCTAATTACGAAGTGTATGTACAGGTTTTCGGACTTTCATATCGTTTGCTGACTAGTTACCTAACCACCTCAGTCGACCACTGCAGTAATTATATATATATATATATATATATAATATCGCATGTACTTCAGTTTACTTCAGTTTACCTGAGCTCATAGTCCCTCTAATAGTTGATCTTGATACAAGAAGGTGTTTGTGGTTTAATTCGTCGCTGACGCACATCCTTCATTTCGGTCAGCAACTGTCATCACGTGACGTCGACGGTCTTACATGGAACGTCGAGTCATATGCTCGACCGTTAACACATTGCTGCTCCATGTAATCATTCTATGTACAAGTAAACAGGGTGCTTACGTCAAAAAATGTAACGATCAGGACGAAAAAAAAAACAGGGCCTTTTTCTTAGTTACGAATTTATTTTGAAACTTTCTAAACTAAGATAACGTTGATAATAAAACAGGAAAGTGACATAAGTCTGAAAAAAATTTATATACCAGTTTACATTACAATATAAGACTAAAATATATTCAAATTTAACCCTTTAAAGCATTGCACTATAAAGATAAAATCAGTGCGATCCGGTACGCGCAGAGTTGTCGATACAGAAAGTTGTCTTGAGCTGTTTTGTCAAAGTACAACCGAAAACGCCTACGTTGCTCGTGTTCGCTTTTGTAGAATTCAAATTTGGAATAAAACAGAGGAGTACCGCTAATTTTTAGTGTTCTTTTGCCTCGCTTCGTTTTTTGATGCAACGATAGTTTTCTTCTGTATTCACCTTCCTTCCTTCCTTCCTTCCTTCCTTCCTGATACTTCTAGCATCTATTTTATAAACGCGTTAATAAAACTATCTCTCTGCTAGTTTTTTTTTTCCGCAGAACTGGTACGGACAGTGAACCTAATTCACTTAAAACTAGTAAAAAAGGCTAAAGGGGTGCGGAAAAATTGGCCGAGAACTTGATTGGTTTTGATTTTATACTAGTTCAAATATACTATGCATGGAATATGTACATACGTAGCATGTCTAAACGTCGTCTACGGGCGCTTTAATGTATTTTTTTGGATTACATAGGTATGGCTACAATTTAATTGTTTGCCATTATTTTTGGCTGTGAAATCAGTTGTTATTAAAACGAGTGTTGTTATTATATGTGTATTTTCCGAAGTTAATTTTGAATCCGAACATTATTAAAAAAGCGCCTTTTAGCAGATTTTCTTTCCTGATTAACGAAACGTTTCGCGGTTTTCAATACAAATGATAAGTTATACTAATTTTCGTTGTACTTGTTGAATGATTACGACAGAGAAATGCTGCTTCCTATTGTTTTTCTTTTCAATACACTACCGTTCTTCGAAACAGCATCTCTGCTGATCTTTCGTTTTCTCGCGGCTACACTTCAGTGCATCATAAATTCATCGTACGTTTATTTGGTGTTTTTTTACCTACGTTTCTTAACATTGGGGATAATTCGCTCAACGATTCAGTCACTTTGTCTATGACGGCGTGATATACGGAGAAGTATTGTACCTTATTATGGACGAAACATTGCGTGCGTAAGTTTCATGCTGACAAACTGTGTACCGTTATTTGATTTTACGGTATCTTAAAAAATGCTCTTTCTGACATATTTTTTTTCGCGCTGTTCATTAGATAGTACTATAATCCTTAGCTGGTCCGACATAGCCAACGCGCAGTTCGGTCCAAGGTTCATTAGGTAGGGAACGATTGTTGGAGAGAACCGTTACCACTTATCGGTAGAGGCAAACTGTAATTATATCTATATAAAGTAGAAAATGTTCTTCGTGTAACGAAGTTAATTATCTGACAAAACTAGAGGGCAACAACCTGTTTGCCGAGCGAATGGCTGTAATTACAGCTAGAGAAGACGATGTTTTAAAACAATATATTAGCAAGGTACTAAAATTTATCTCATTAGGGTAATTATCCGTATCGACAGTTAATTGTCATCTATGACCGTGACTATGCAGAATGTGATACTTGTGTTCGAGATATTGTGCTGCACCAATACGCTTATTAACATTTGATCAGAGGCGCGTTGTTAATAACAACATACTATTGTATATACCTTAAACACAATCCTTAATAGCGCTGTGGAGGATCACGTAATATACGTTTGTGCAACGACTTCGTCTTGTGAAAAAACAACTTGGGTTCCGTTTGTTTTGGAAAATGTAGGTCTGGGACAGACGGAAGAACACAAAGAACTAGTTAGATTCTAACACAACGTTGAAATGTGTTCAACTAACTCGAATCGAATTCACTTGGTTGTGTATTAACCTATTTTATGCCTAGAAAACGCCCTTCTAGCCACTATCCATAAATAATGTCAATCGTTGGTAGACTTGACCTACCATCTGTCAAGCCACATGCACAGACCCATGTAAAACCAGTGTCCAATCGTCTGCTATCGTTTTGTATTGAGCTAGTGTTTAGTCTACCTATCTATATTTATTTCTACTTAAATTTCGTGTCCGTTCGCCCGTCTCTCTGAGTCAGATTGACCACACAAAACGCTTGGTTTTTCTGGTTGCTGCAGCAATAAAGGATTGTACAAAAGGCGGAACCGGTTGGATGAAGTCCTTTTTCCGCCGGGGGAAGCCTGTCGTAAAGGGTTATGGGCTGCTCGTTTTATGCGATTGGGACTCTGTGAAAAGTTCATTCCTTTGTGATTTGCAGTTAAGATAACATAAAAATAAAGGTGGTTTATATCTGATTAAATATTGATACATTCAATTCACATTGTTTTTTTTCTGGCGAGGCAGTTTCTTTGTTTGGACGAAAGGGTATAATGTCCATAACTTAGTCTGCGGAATAGTTAATGTACATAAATTATAACGCTAATCAGATTTGACGATTTCAGGCTTTACCAAGCAGCTACAACACTATAATTTTTGTCGATTCGTGCTCTATGATTTATGACGCATATTTTCGGCACAAGAATTATATGCCTGCGACGACTTTTTTTCAGGGGGATGAGGTAGTATGATGCTGTTTTGGTCAATTTAAAAAAAATCATAAATCATCCGTGCGCATCATTCAAGAACTACAATCAGATATTTATGGATTTATGTATGGTCATCAGTCGAAGGTTAGATTCGGGGACAAACATCGCGATAGCAGGAGAAACGTAACTGCAACGGAATGGACGGAAAATTAGGAAGCTGCGATGAATAACGGAATCATTGTTACAAGATGTCTAAATAATTAGAGAATATAATTAGATAAATAATAAAAAATTAGAACTAGTGTAGATCTTTGATCGAACTAGAGTTTCAAGCGGATTATCAAACTGGTGCATATAAGAACGAGCTGATATGTAATAGCAAACGGGTGATGTGCAGTAGGGTAATTCCGATGGGATAGGCGTTATTATTTGAACGAAAATATTTAAACTGGTGGCAAAAAAAAAGATGCGTGAGGTGAAACTTGTTTTTCCATGGCTATCCTCTAACACATTGTGCTCCCGTTTATTGTAAAGCGTTCTCTTCAAAGTACCCTGCTCTAAATGGGTTTTGGCTGACGATCTCTCGTAATTGCAGACATATTATTATTCCTTTCGATTTACTACTCGAATGCTGGAGACCACAAGAAACTTAAATGAATTTTACACAAATTCACGTTTTAAAAATTTATCCTCGGTTATTCTTCAATCGTGTGAGTTAAGTCTTTACAAACGGTTTTTTGTGACCGCTGTGTGTTTGTGTGTGTGTGTGTGTGTGCGTGTCGATAACCGAATGTTACTGTTATTACTATTGGCGCTTGTAAGTTGCATCGAATTTTTTAAAATAATATTTCAGTTTATTGAATAATTTCGATAATCTTCACATTGTATAGTTTTACATTTACATGAATTTGTCCATATCAAGCTCCAAATTTTTACGATCCGTACCGACATTCGTATTGCCTAATATACTGTAGGATTCCTTATGAGACCCATTTTTATTTTACTTTTACTTGCTGTTTATTCTAAGGTGAAACAAATCTGTCTTGCTCGCGCAAAATAAGACTTTGGATCGGTGCAAAATTGAATTATTATTACTACACAACCAGCTAGCTTGCCGATACCATCCTATCCTGTAATTTTTGGCAAGTCCGTGATCGTGCTTAAAGTTAGGCACAGGCTAAAGGCTTTAATATGAAGATAGCTTTATGAATTCACACAAGCACGCTCGGCCTAAGATATATCTTCCATATTAAAAGTTCATTTGCGATACGCTTTATACGGAGTGAGCTTAGGTTCAGTTTACTGAAAGCATCCCTTTCTAAGCAATTTCTCAAATATAATTAAATCCATAGCTTTTTAACATGTTGTGATTATTTGGTCTACATAAGACAGCTCTCCCTTTATATGGCAAAAATAACGTGCGTTTGGCGCGCTACACATACAACAAGTGGCATTGTACGTTCCAACGTAGTTCCTTATTACATCTGTATCTGGACGACTGATCGCTTTACTTTTCCTTATAGTTTGACGTAACGTGATTTTTCTCTTAGTTTTCAAACGACTCATAAATATAATTTTTAACATTGATATTCTGAGACTGGGAATTGCTCTGCATCGTAAATTTACATAGCAATAAAAAGGTGTCTAAGCAATTTGGTTGCCGAGAAAAATATCAAATAATAAAATTAGATCTATATTTAATTGTTTAGCTTAGTTTAAACAAACTGTAAAGAAGCAAGGATTTGACAGAAACTATTTATATACAATCAATCAATTAATTAATTAATAAAATTTCTATAAGAATGGTAATTCGTGTGATAATACTTTTTATTACTTTTCTAAAAGGTAATCTAGGCTTACTTAAAACATCAAAGCAACTATCAACGCTGAAAGTTAACTATACGAATCTATTTACGGATGTAGCGTAGCGCGTTGTCTGAATAGGACCAATACACTTGGCTATAACTATGAAACTTTTGCGTCTAACATACGTCTTACATCTAAATACGTCTTTAAAGTTACCGAAAGAAATTATTCCTCTCTCAAAAGCAAGAGACATGTTCAGCCCGTCCTTGATCTCAACTTGGCTTTTTCCAAAAGAATTGTAGGCTGTTTTGTGGCGGCGCGTGTGGGAAGTATGAACGTACCCTCACCTCAGTGGTACAATAGTAGATCTCTCACGATTGTGACAGATGTGCTGTATTTCTCACTGTTTCTTTAGCTCGAGTGATTTACTTTTCGATTTATACAGTAGCCGTATATATTAGGAAATGGCTGTTTCTCCAGGCCTGTGAAACACAAATAGACTTTATCTTTAGTTATATGTATATTTTTCATGCAATACAGACATATCTATAGATTCGCTCTTTCAGAAGCTCAAGTTCGTGAACCGTAACTTACAACATGCCATTCAACATCCCATCCGCAGAGGAACTCCTTCATAGGTAAGTATTTCGAGAAAAACAAAGGACCACACAACATGGACGTGTAGCCTTGTTACGTTGCGTCTCAGCTAGCTCCATTAATTTAGCCAATTATACCGTGTTTGTAGGAGAAACTAGTTTTTCATAGAGGATGCCGTTTTGATTTCACGGCATTACGAATTGCAGTTGCGTTTCAGGCGATTTACATACATTGTTCAGTTGTATCATATTTTACTCGAAGTGAGTAAGTTATAGATATATAACATCTGGAAGCAATCGCATCTGCTGTGGCATTTTCTCCTCAAGTGATACCTACTTATTTATGATTTTCGTATTCTGATAATGAATCTAGGTTTACCTATTATGATTACGCTATCTTCCTCTGCATGGTTGGGTCTTCTGGAGTGTTGGGTTTGTACTGTGCTTTTAACGAAGGTCCACAAAACACAATTCGTCAATTGCTGACAGCAGATGGAAAACTGCCCTCACTACTTGTCAGCACATCGTTAATGGCATCTTTCATATCAGCGTCATATATCCTTGGTAAGTAAGACAGTTACTCACAAAACGAATCGTCTACTGCTTCCTTCTCCTTCTAGTGCTAAGGATAACCCTCAATGAGCTCTGGGTTTAATTATGATGCAAACCTGTTAAAAATATTTGTGTCCAACAATGCACTCAAGTACAGTATACCTATGGGTGCAAGTGGACAATAGCTTAATCTTGAAGTGGGTCACAAACGTAAAAACTGAACACATTTATTTAGTGTAGATAATACATGTGTACAAAAATACACTTATATGGTATAAAAGAAATACTAAAAAAAAGAGCCCCATTGGAGGCGTACTCCACCACAATAAAAATCCAGGATGTGATAAAAAACATGTGCATGTAACAAACGTAGAACTTAGTAAGCTAAACTTGAGGGCTTCTTCACTTCGTTTGATGACGATGACGACGCTGGCGATGAAAGTAACAGCGTTTGCACACAGTGATCTATGCGACAAGAACGTTTGATTCTATTATTACTTACACCAACAATTGTATTAGGTATGGTTTAAAGTTGCGTTGAACTTCAGCTGGTAATAAGTTATGAGTATGATCCTTAGCTTATTGGGCATATTGGCCTTCTTTTTCGAAATAGGAAATACTTCTGAGATCTATCAGCATGGCACCATGTATGTTTTCACTGCGTTATCGTATTGTCTGGTCATTCCGATCACAGCTCATCTGTACATGCCGGTATTCTACAGGAGTGAAGTGCTCACGTGTTACGAGGTAAACGTGGAGTCACTTGACTAGCAAAGAAATTTATTTTAACTCATTAATATCGTTTATATATAGACCGCCCCACGATCATTAACAGTTTATCACAAAATTCGTCCGTTGGTGATACATACGCACGTTGGATCTTTACATATCAAATTAAGGGGTTCTTATCAAATCGTCACGCTGAAAACGCGCTCACTTTTATGTAACAGTTGTTGAACGAACGGCTTTCCTGATCGTCGTACACCTTTAGGAATTTGTCAATATGTCATAATGATGATACAACATTGTAAGTTCAATTTTTCATAAATACTATGCGATCAGAAAACGGTAAAGTGGACGAATCAATAGATTATGGTGTTGTTAGATATTTGTTGCGCTCTCGTCTCTTGTGTTCAAGATCTAAGATCTCGAGTAGCTTGTCGACTCAACAAAACAGTGTTCCGACATTTTACATTCAATTCCAGCTTCAGAAACAAGCAAAGTTCTCGTGAAAATTAACGTGCCGCAATTGCGTCGCACTTCTTCAGCGCTTGCTGATAAAGCCGTTGCAGAGTTCAGGGTCGAGTGAGACGACTATACTAGCTTTCATTCAGGAGGGGCCAATTATTTTACATAGAAATTTACTAATCTAAGAAATGTACACTTTTCCTGTTCATATCTACCCTATTCATGCTCAATCCAAATAAGTATATATCCACATACATTGAAAAACGGCCATCGTTTTAAAAAAGATCGTTTTAGGCCAACACTGAAATAAACAATTTTCATTGTTACATCATAATTCTCTCGCTGTTTAAGGGAAAAAAATGTCATATGATTTTTACATCCCTCTATTGAACATTGTTCTGCAGAAGCCGAAACAGATGACAATCTCTCGATTAGTGAAAAGTTCGAGCCCTATCCAAGTTGTTTCAACTTTTTGCCTGGTAGATAAATATGTGTATGATTTAGAATTGTGCGGTAGAATCCGATACCTTCCTTGTTCACTAGTTTCTAGTTCAAGCTGATCCTTTTCAATGACTTATCATACCACTGTCAATTATCGACAACAGAGGTCCGAATCAGTCATTTTGCCAGGCGGCACTAATTTGTAATGTACGATTTAATCCCACCAAGACATTTTTCTTTATTTGCACATTATTGATATACTTTACGTCACTTATGATAAATCGTTTTAAAAAAGCTCAACTTCCTTTCGTTTCTGTAAAGTTGCACAGATGAAAATACGATCAAATAAATTCTTTCGGGTTTATTTGTCTAAGAGGAAAAAGTTTTAAACTATTTGACGGAGGATGTTTAGCTTCTTGACGATGTCCATCTTGTTCAACTTACACAATAAGTTTATGAAGCTTCTCTCTATTCGGTCATTGGAATTCGCTAGAATTTTTGCTTCTATCGCAAAACAAATTAAAGATGCAACGAATTTTCGTAAAAGGTTCACTCATCCTAAGGCGCACAATTTTAAAGCTAAGAATATTGAAAGAAGCCAACGCCGATTCGCCATGACCTATTTATTTTCAGATATATATACGTATATTTTATTGCCACATAAAAGTCCGGAGTTGATTTTCAGAACAAGCGTTTCCTTATCTATCGGGACTTTAAGCTGACTTATAACCCATCTAAACGCGGTGACATTTTTTATTTACTAATAAACGTTATTTGTTGTAGTATCTCGAGCTACGTTTCAACCGCCTGGTCCGTTACATCGCTCTGGGATTTTACATCATACAAATGTTAATATACGTTGCTATTCAGCTCTACGCTCCAGCTCTTGCTTTATCCTATGGTGAGTCATTACAAATCTCTTTGATTGCGTGTGAACTTTATTCAAAACTGATACAGTATGGTGGCTGAGTGGTGCGTTAACTTAAGGCACGTTTACTTTGAATACCGATCTCGAATACTTGTTTACACAACGATGCACTATTTAAACCTATTTGCTACGTAAAGGAAGATCGATCTTGTTCAGTCTTCTCTCTGTTCATTGATACTGAAATATTGACGCAGTTGCGCCTAACGCTCTTGAGTACAATGCGTTGTGCAGTAATTAGAACTTTTGATTTCACTCTTCTAGGGGCATATGCCGACATAGGGCATAAGCTGACGTTATCGGTCCCTTTAACAAATAAATATTTCCGGATAGAGAAATAGAGGCATTTAGCTCATAACTCATCTTGCAGTCGTCATGAAGGTATAGGGTACTTGTCAAAGAGGTAGTTTTTATCTGCGTCACGTAGCTTACGCACTATGGGTCTCATCGGCATAAAGCTGGGATTTGACAGTAGGATTCAATATTTTTATTCGGAGTTTGAGCAGAATCCCTGAAACTTCTGCAAAAAAATTGCTAATGTTACGGTGGAAGCACAATGCAGCTGATTGCGAAACCATGACAAATGCACGAATTTAGCAAAAATTGAAAAAGCTATCCACAGTCTATGGAAAGGTTCAAACTGACACCAAAGAAAATGATACTCTATGATGTGATTGAAGTTGCTAATGATGGGATTGGAAAGGGGGCATTACGATTTGCCGCTTTCCGGCAAAATGATTGGTTCGAACCCCTTACTGTCAACAACTAACAACAACACTACTACAAGCCATAAAACAAACCAATCAGCGACGAGAAAACGCATCGATTTCTACCATGACAATGGTAGACCACGTACATATTTAACTACTCGGCAAAAGTTGAGACAGCTACGATAGGAAATTTCGATACATCCGCTATAAAACTTGCAGTATCAGACTATCATCTGCTGGGGTCTCTGCAGAGCATTTTTAATGGTGTCAGTTTAATTTTAAAGGAGAAGAAAACCGTATAAGTGTTACAGTAATGCTATTATAATGCTGTTTGAAAAAAAATAACAGTAGGTCATTATAGTAGAAATAGTTGAAATAGCGTATAATTAAGTTAAAAATATTGTTCCGAAACACTGAACATACCTGTCTTGGTTTTGGCTTGAAAGCCGTTCGCATGTTTTTGACCACCCAATATGTACACAGTTAAGGGTATCTTGAAGGGAAGTGATACACACGTTTTATTTTTATTAACGTAAATAACAATTTACGTAAAAAAATATGATGATATCCTTTTTTTTTTGTTCTAATTAAACGATTCAACTACCGACATCGGCCTCCGTTCATCAGTCGTTGTATCACATCGATTTGCATATGCCAATGGATGTCATAAACAAGCCATTTTCCCATTAACGCAAGTAGATTCTTTGTAACAGTATTGGGTCATCGCCCCGGATTTAAGCCAGATTGAATTAGTCCAAAGATGGATAATGCCCTTTCACAGAATTTCCGTCTTGCTCCATTTATAATCTTTCTAGACGATGTTAAGGGCAATATGCACGTATGTAGACAGCTGTGTCTGTTTAAAGTAACGATTTCAAACATCTGGACTTTGCGAACTTTATTGATCTAACTTTATTACGCAACGCACTCTGTAGTTCAATCGCGCGTAATTTTAAAATGGCGAATACCTTAAAAGGTAACTAAAGTGGCTGACAAGAAACTTTAAGTAATCTTTGTTCCATATTCAGTACATGGTAATGGTGTGAACGATCGTTGGATGCACTGTTGCTCTACTTTGATTTGCTGTGTTTTATGATGCCTAGTGACCGGCATGGGATTGTGGACAGCTGTGCTGACTATAGGGCTCATCTGTACAGCCTACACCTCAGTTGGGGGCATCAAAGCTGTGGTTTACACGGATTCTCTTCAGGTAACTTTAATTAAAGCGTAATTATTCGAACGCCATAATACAATATGTACATTTTCAACTGCTGTACAGAACACGAGTCATCTTCACAACAATTCGCCTCTCGATATCTCGATGATAAATTAATAAATATATTATATTTTGTTTCACGTTTGATAATGAACATTTTTGTAGCTTAACGTATGTGCATGTGCGGAACTGTACATTGCAGGCAATGTTCATGTTTGCCGCTTTGACGGTTGTCGTGGTTTTGGGGTTCCAGTCTGTCGGGGGCTTTATGGCAGCTTGGAGCATCGCCCACGAAGGAGGAAGGATTCGTTTTGACGAGTATGTAGCTGTTATCCGATAACAAATATTTATATGAACTTGTGATGTTATGCTCGTATACGCTTATTACGACTCTAAATTACACAACAGGGCGGCGGCTGTTGTTACAACAATTGCGACGGTTTTTTTCCCAACTAAATTTTACTATCTGCTATTAAGTAGAACGAAATTATATTTCAGTACAAGTTTGGATCCTACAGTGCGACACACATTTTGGGGAATGATCTTTGGATCCTTTTTCTCAAACCTTGCGTCGTACGCCACGAATCAGATGATGGTCCTCAGATACTTCACAGTGTCCTCACTCACCCGCGCGAAATGGTAAGGTATAGGCAAGATACGTACAATACCGTGTTTAAGTTTGACCCCGCTACTATTAGGCATATTTATCCGCATGATAGAGCGGGAAAAGGGAAGCGTACTCTTCAAAAAAAAGAAGTCACTGTAAAGAGGAGCTGACGAGAACATTTACTTCGTATTCGTTTACTGGTCCAACGGTGTCTACTCTAATATTAGCATTATACAATGACGCGGCCACTATGATAATGGGCAATGATGTGGCATGAACGTATAGATCAGCATATTGTCGCACAACCCAAATCAAATACGGGAAAAAAAGAAAGTGACGAAAGTTTTAGGTAATCAATATTGCGGTTGTAGATAGTTATAATAATAAATATAATAGAAAATGAGTATTTGCGATAATGTAACTAATTATTTCTAGGCTGATGAAAAGTTTGACCAGCTGCAAAACTAAAGTCAAGATTATGGAAATTATCAATAATTAAAGGTATCAAGAATTTTTAAACCTTGAACAAAAAAAGGCGTACCAATCTTACAATCGAGTGAAGAAATATTTTCACCAAATCAGGCTATGAAGGTCGGTCGACCTGTGAAAAATTTCAAAAATATATAAATAATTAAATGCAGTTGCTGAGCTTTACAATTAACCCTGAAAATTTCGTGACTATATAGCCTTTTAGCTTGATTTTTTTGTATATATATACGAGCCAATTAATAGCGGTAGCTCGTTTTAGTTAGCTAACGAAATCTGTACGTTGTTCATTACCAACGATTCAGGCTTCCGTAGAGAGCCTGCGTAATGTAACAACGATGTTATCAGGCAGCATTATGATGTTACGCAACATATTAGATATCACACAAACGTATATGGTCCATATGTTTGTGTGCTATTTTAATAAATAAACAAATGGGAATAGGTAAACAAAAGGCAGACGATAAAAGATATCCGGTAAGGCTAGTTCCTTTCAAGGACACTTGCTGTTACAATTGGCCGGTTTTAAGATAACTATACATTTTCGTGTACGTAAAGATGTTGTTCTTTACTTAAGAAACATAACTTCCGCTTCTGTTTTCAATCATTGACTACGTCTGATTTTCATCTCTATATCAAGGAAACGCTGTCCCGTTATTTCTTATAGCAATAGCCCAAATTTCATTTAGTTGTATTACCCTCACCTTTACCCGATAAACCATATTTTAGTTTTAGAACGAATTCAGAACCGTCTACTGTTGAATTCTTAAGCTGAACTGCTTTTCGATGCCAATTTAAAAACATCATCTCAAAACGTCAAATTAGAGCTGATTTGAAAATGATCAATAGTCTTAAAACGAGTAGTGACTTTATCACTATGCCCGTAGCTGATCTACATAATGGCTTTAATTTTCGAAGCATGGAAATCTTATAAACTGGTCAAATGAACAAGAGATTTTTTGTGATTAGGACAGGAAGGCTCCATACGCAAACACTAATGTTTGTTTCTATTCCGGTATGATACTTGCAGTTTATATCGAAGAAGCTCCTATCCCGTATTCAACATGTAATTATAATAATATGCATCATATTTAAATGTGTTATATTAATGCATAAATTAAAAAGATTTTTTGTTTTTCAAATGTCTATATCTACGCACTTCTTGGTAGTTTGTCTTTTTTTTTTTCGATGCGCCCTCGCCCCCTGTTTCTGTTATTGGCCTCGTTGTGCGGCAAAGAGCGTTTTCTCTCAAGTTCGGGCTCCGAAAATGAATATTCTAAATGCAAAAAAGCCATTTTTTATAACCTAATCAATTTCGCGTTTGTAAAAAATCTATAGAAACAGCCGAGAACATTTACACCGTATATAGCAAGAACTCGTATGACCGAAAGAACTAACTAAGGATGGTTGCTAAATTTCAAAGTCGCATGCTAGGCTCAAAAGGTACACTCGGTCTTTCTTCTGAGGTCGCTAAAAGCCGCTTGAACGTACCTTTAAAAGAAAACGGTTGGCAAACAACTTTTGAATTTACGAAAAAAAAAATGGGTTCGGAACACTCAGTTGTAGCCGGGCACCTTAAATCAATGAAATTTTCTTTCTTAACAAACTGTATGGAGCCTTGGCGTCCCATAAAAGGCTCAATTGAACACTGGTTTTTTGCTGTCTGTCAACATCTCGCCCGGCATTAAGTAACACGTGACTGCGAGGAATGGATCCATGGGTAGCTACGTCTGACCCGCTGTTTAGTTAGAACTAATTGGCAGCGTTTAATGCTCTGCTAGATGCTCTAAAAAGCAAGCCTGCTAATAAACACTTTTATACGACCCAGCTGCATAGAATGAGCGAAGCTCTTTGACAGAAAAAGCAACTGAGGAGGCAAAGTCACCTCTTTGACCTCAGATATGACAAGGGACGGATTGGCCAGACCAAAGTTTGTTGAGAAATGGAAAAAAAAGTGGTAATATGACGGCGAATATATAGCAAATGGAATAGTTGCTACAGTCTTGGTAATATACTGCATTGCTATTAAATGCATGACTCATGCAATAACTTAATTAAGGTATACTTGACTGTACATAATTTTCAGTGTCGTCTGGGGTAACCTATTTTATTTAACGTGGATTCTCACTCTCTCATGCTTATGTGGTCTGATGGTATACGCGTACTTTCACGCCTGCGACCCTTTGGAATCGAAACAAATTCAAAGTTACGACGAGCTGTTACCCTATTTCGTGATGGTTAAACTTGGCCATATAACCGGACTACCAGGAGTTTTTGTTGCTGGCATTTTCGCCGCCTCTCTCAGGTACACTCAAACAATCTCTAACTAACAATTAGGAAAAAATCGCTTTAGCAATATATTGACCACAAAACGTTATATCGATTAACAGAAAACGACTAATATTCCTGTTATTACTAAATCGTTTTAGCTCGATCTCTTCCGCTGTGAACGCCTTGTCGAACGTATTGTACGTAGATATAATTTCTCTGATTCAACCGAATCTTTCGAACAAAGCTGGATCTCGTATCATCAATCTGCTCGGTGAGTTCGCTGTTCCACGCACCTATCACTCTTTTTATTGATAGATATTTGTTTATCTTTAAATTAATCCAAGATCTAAGAACTCACTTCAGATCTTAATCAATTCGTTATATAATAATACAATAATGTGCGACCAATTCTGCAGATCCCTGGCCTTGGAGAAGTAGTTATCGAATCATTTCCTCTTCCTGCAAGGTTTAAACTTATTACTTAAACAGAATGTATGCGTTTAGGGTGGGGACAGGTAAGCTCGTATGGGACTTGCGCTTTATTTCCTAGGCCACTCCATTTTTTCTAGCAAAAGAAGGCTGGTCTATAACTTTAACACTACCAAACCTCAAAAATTTAGGGCCATATGCAACGGCTGATTTTTTTCTTAAACTAAATTTATTTTGTTGTATTTAACCGAACTCTCGTTGAACAACGAAGAAGTAAAATAGCCCCGTTTACCGATTACAGTGTCGACTGTCACAAGACCACATTCGGAGGCAAATTTAAAACAAGTTACTTTTTCTAAAAGTCACTACGTTAAGCTACATTGCATTGATTTCTTTAAGAGCTATATAGGCTACTGCATTTTGAGCGTATATGAAACCCAGCATTAGTGATACTACGGCTAAGTAGGATAAAATGTGAGAAATAAATGGCATTAAATCTAAATTTTACGTCATAAAAAACATCACAATTTTTTCAGTCGTTGTGTCATACGTTGCTACTACCTAAATTGCAGATAATCATAAATAAAATTGTAAAAAATCGTAAAAAACATAAATCAGAATTTGTCATGGATAGTTATGTAAATTAGACAGGCATAACCACGATGTACATGCTTCAGTGAGGTCAAATGGGCCTTAAAGAACGATTCACACGTTGTTACTGATCCTCTTCTTTTGCTGAATGATATCCATCTCGTGGATCTGCCGGCATTTAGGCCATTCGAAAGCCAACCCCATATTGGTGGCCCATGTAGCATACCACTGACCTATATAACTACACCTTGTAATGCTGGGTAAATAAATATAGATATCCTTAATTAATACTTTCTGGTAACTTGCAATAAGGTCATATAATAAAAGTCTTTGATGACTATCATTTTTCCTGTGGCACTTGTCCTTCCAACGATAACGCTAGGTAAAATTTTGTCTATATAGCTCCATTTATTTTATAACAGATGTCCACTACCAACTAGAATGCACTTCTTAAGATTTTTCAAACTACGGCAGAGAACATATGCTGTTATGCGTTAGTGGATACGTCAGTCGGTGATGTTCAGGCAAGTAGGCTTCTGCTTCTCTTAAGGTTCCAGACAACACTTTTACTTATTAAATACGATATGATTTGCAGATTAGCAAACGTGACAATTAAGAAACAGTCAGTGGAGTAACGAACGTATCTGGTCGTGTTTATGTGCGTTATTGGTTTCTATCCAGGAATTGTAGTTGGGTTTCTCTCTGTTGTGCTTGTAGCTGTAGCGCAAACAATGGGCAATGTGCAGGCTGCTACAAACGCTATAAATTCAAGCGTCGGGGGGCCACTTTTAGGTCTGTTCACAACAGGAATGTTTGTACCGTTTGTAAACTCAAAAGGTATGTTCTTTTTTGAATACGATATATGCCTTTGCCGCACACAGATTCATATTAAAGGATCTTATGGGTCAAAAAGCTTGACTGTTAACGACTAACATCCAGCGCACTGACTCCAACACTATTATTGCTAATTCACGAGCCTAATTTGAAAAATAATCATTTTTGTAGGAAACGCAAAAGTATGCGTTGTTTTATACTCTGCTTTGATTAAAAAACGAGCTTATATAATAATTTCTTTTATTGCTCACGAACCGCTTGCCTTTCAGGTGTTCTAACAGGGTTTGCCGTGGCTCTGAGCATCTCCTTGTGGCTCAGTATTGTAGGCTTTTTGTACCCAGCCAAAATTATTCGATCTCCACCTCCAATTTCTGTGGATGCTTGCAGGAACACATATATGCGTGTCACTAATTCGAGCAGCTACTTCCCACCAACACCAAAGCCATGGGCGCCAGGAGAAGGCTATATTATAGCTTATCGGCTGTCCTACGTATGGAACGCTGCGCTTAGTGTTTTTATCGTACTGGTGGTTTCCATTGTTACAAGTTTGCTTACGAATCCACAAGACCCCCGGACATTAAATCCAAATTTGATTGGCCGACCGTTCGACGTTCTTTGCCCTTGGATATCCAAAAAGATTCTTGATTCGTTGGCTTTTAACGTTGGTGAAGACTATGTAAGTTACAGTCCGTTATACATATATATATATCTAATTTCTTATACAAAATCATCAATAATGTGCATAATTTTTCCGGAAATTTGGCTTGCAGCCCGAAAGCTAATTTCGATCTATCGCGGCCCTGGTAACGTGATTTAGCCCACGTGTAGGCATTACGGCCTCGTAGTACTTGAATGAAAAAAAAAAAGCTCACTAAGTAATACATTTTTCCAACGGGGACCATGAGAAGCCGATATTTCTTGTACTCTCAGCACTTAACTTTTATTAATCAAGTGACTTAGCACTTATTAGACATTTCACTTAAAAGATATGAGATTGAGTAGTAACTGTTTAGAGTAGTGAACAAATGCTGGCAAAAAAGGCTTGCCCTTTCTTTTATAAGTAGTACGCCAAATAGGTAAATACTGTAATTTATTATGTTTGCTTTTTCGGCTTTACTAAACTTTTTCTTACAATATGTGAGGTAGGAGCAACAGCGTCAACATAAGACTCTACTCTTTTGTTTGGTGACATATGGAAATGAATAGAGCTAGCAAATTATTGACATATGGTTCGGCTGCTTTTCCTGGCAGGATTCAAGAGGTAGTTATTAGCTAGGCTATTTGCTGATATATATATATATAAGTCATGCAGATTAAGAAAGATCAATTTCTTAGAATGACTTTATTAGAAAAAAGCCATTGATGAGGCCGATAAATCTATGAAATACATTTATTATTCGTAGGCCTTTCCATCGTCGGATTTTCTAAGTATCCTTTCTGTTCTGATTAGTCCAATCAAAACTGATAGTAGTATTTATTCTATTATTAATAGTAATTCTATTATAGCATAGTGGAATCTATCAAGAATTGTTTAAATATGTACGCATGTTTCTATAGTAAGAAGGACAACCAACGCACCACTTCTACCACCATCTTATCGTTTCTTTAAAAAATAGTGGAAAAACAACTGCCCCGATTGAAGCAGTCTGCGACATTTTTGCTAGCGATCTTTACTATATATAAGCAGCACTCGCGAGCCGTCATTATGACGGATACGACACGAAAAAAATACGAGTGCTTCTTATGAGAAGTTAGCCAAAGTAAAAAGGTTGTGGTCTATCTTTGATCTTGACTACTTGTTACGCTAAATATGCAGTAGTGGTAGTTTAGTCGTCGTCGCCTTTGTTATATGTTCAAGCGTTAGCGTAATTAAAATCGTCATTTGAAAAGTCAAAATGTCCCAAGCTCTACCAGCCGTTGTACCGCGATGGTAATACCGAATGTTGATGATCTTTATACAAAACGATTGACCTGCATCTCGACGATGCTTCTTAAACAATAGGAACTCATCTTGGGAGCGCTCGCCATGGATATCTGAGTGGTATGAACGAGCATGTCCGCTCACAGAAAATGCTTTTGTCTCAAATCCTTTTACAGGAAATTGCAAACAAGCTGAAAGTTAGAAGCGTTCCAGATACATCTGGTAATGATAACTCCGCCCACGTTGGCTGCGTAGACGATCCATAAGAACGCAGGCCAAGCGTTGGTAGTACCGAACAATGCTACCGTCATCAGCTCCATATTCGACTGAAAGGAAAGTCGAATTCGTTTTGTATTGGTCAAATTCATTCATTAAATGTGTAAGTCCTACGCGTATGTACCAAGAGAACTAACAACCGAGTTACGCACCGAGCAAGACAGCCATTTCGGTACGAGTGCACCAGTCAACGAAAATAACTTATCAAATATTATTATATTGCTGTTAACTTTAAGAAGTTTTATTAGTTAAATAAAAGAAGTTAATTTGTTCCGCAAGTGAGAACGTTCTCGCCAACATACTCACTAACTACGATAGCTATAAGAGACAGTTGTATTGCTCGCTCTATACCTCTTTCAAGTAAATAACCTGTTTCAATTTGTTGACAACAAAATGTTGATACGTATAAAGTGGCTACTGATTCCCTACCAATCGGCTTAATTATCTTGACGTTAAGTTATTAATATTATCAATAATATACACAGTATTCCAGTGTTCTCAGCGATTTTCATCTAAGCACAAACGAAAAGAGCCACCACATCGATTCGGCTTTCGTCTGTACAGACGCGCGGTACACGGTCGCAAGACTTGCGACTTTTATAAACGCGTTCTATATTAACAAACGATCAAGTGCCGAAGCTTTACGGTAACTTCGCACGCTCGGCCTGATATCGGCCTGAGGCTGCTTCTAGGAAGATTCCGGTGCGTAACAGGCTATAAAAGCTTCGGACCGCTCGCATGAAAAACCAAATAGTCAGACTGTCCAAAAGAGCACAAGGGAAAAAACAGATCACCGCCATTTACTTCGTCAACCGAGTTCAGCCGACCCTAGCGCCCGTTGACGAAATGGTGGCGATTAACTGATTTTAACAAACCAGGACTTTGATACTTTCCGCCTCTCATTCCACTTAGCTTACGGCCTGCTAATTCAAAAATTATACCATAACAAAATGCTATATGTAAGCAGTTAATTGACCGCATGCTTCGATCTGTTATTCAAAATTTCAATACTTGGCTTGTCATGCAGACGAAGCTCGGAAAATCATCTAACTGACATCGTGTTACATACGATAAAACGCAAAAGGATCAGCGTTAAAATAAAATCAAACTTAGTTCAATCTCGATTCACTTTTTTTAAATTGAATTGACTGAAATCATTTAGCAAATAGTCTACTTTTAGGAATAATCAAGTTATTTGTTTTATGAGCCGTTCAATTTACAGAAGTTCGCAAGATACGAAAACGAAAATATACGAATTCCTTCGTCCGTGTTTGAGAAGCGAGCCCATTGCATCTTACATCGATACACCGAATGCACGAATCGTGCACATGGGAAAGAAAGTTTACTACTGAAAACAGTGAAGCTGTCCCGACAACCGTTATACATAATAAAATAGTTAGTCGGTGATAGCAACAATCACAGAGCTTCATGCCCAAGATGTCTGTATATCTTTTTGACGTCAATATTGAACACCTCGGCTAGATGAAATAATCGTGAAGTGGTCGTGATCTGTGCGACTACAAAAAATCGCACGAATGATACACTTCTGGTTAATTAACAAAAATATTTTACTGTTAATAGAAAAAAAAGTTACTTGAAAAAACTCTTTAGACGTCTTAAATATGTATGTGACGTTTGATCTTATTACATACAAGCATTAGATCGGTAAGAAAGAACTCTGCTTTGGCAAGTTTTAAATTTCGCTACCAGTACGGTGTTTTCGATCTGTTTCCCTATTTAATTTAACTTCGAAACATTCATTTTGTCAGGCTTTATCAGCAGGGCTTTCTGTGTTATTAAATTATGAAACTAAAAGATTTCATGAGAGTGCTGTCCCGCTACCGACGCACCAAAGATAACACTAGGAAGAGTTCTGCGTGAAATTAAAAAAGTAAAAAGTATTATGCATGGAAGACAATGTTCTGAAGATAAAAAGGCGGATCTCGCATAAATTGAATGAGAGTACCGTTGTTAATAGTGACGATATTATAAGACAGTTCTCAGCGACAGAGAACATCGTTTGTGTCCGGCATACCCTTCCATCAACAGCTTAACTTGGAAAAATTTGGGGAAAACGAAGTTATGAAAAACGTAGACGCGTGATTTTATCTTTCTTCCACTATTCATAGAAGTTTATTCAGTGTAATCGAATTGTTCTAAGAATAGCGAAATTCAGTATTTCGCATCATTCCGCAGTGTATTTGCATTTAAGTTACCAGCGCTCAGTTCCACTGTAACTAGCAGCGGTGCTCTTGGCACCAGAACTTTTTTGGAAATCATCAAAACATATTATGCACCATCGTTAATTAGTATCTAACCGCGCGCATTATCGTCAATATCACTGGCGTAATAGTCGTCTCGAGGCAAGTAACTCAAAACAATAGAAGGTGCTGGCAATGCCTCTTAAATAATTTCTCAAGCGAGGCAGTAACAGATATCAAGCTATGTACTCTGAACTCCTGAATTCAACGAAATTGAAGAATGACTGTACGCTAATGGATTGATTTAGAAAACTGCTGGTTTTGCATCAGAGTCTGCTAAATAGGTTCTAATAGCTAAAAAACAGCAATATGTATTCCATCAGAATAGCAAGGCAAACGTTCAAGTTGAGTAATGAAAAAATTTTATGCCAACAACCGTCTACTTAAACTAGACTACCGTTTAGCTAAACACTGGACAACTGAGAGCTAAGAACATGATACATGACATCCACTCACAGATCATTTGGTTCCAATAAAGATGTGCACCATTATGCTAATGGCTGGCGATTTCTATAAGAACTAATTTAAATTCAATTTCTGCAGAAGTGATTTTTCCTCAGCTAACACAACCAGCGCTAACAAAGGATCATGTACCTTACGTCATTTACGTTGCCTAATCTCACGTATCTTAACAGAATGAATGCTCTCGAGTATGTATCCTTTACCGGCCTACGAAATTATACGTCGCAGAGATTATTTACTATCTTATATTGTTATAAAAATTATTGAATTTTCTACTTCCTAACCAAAAATACGTGTTGAATAGCTGTTTTTGTTCTTTTTAGTCATTGCTAAAACATATTAGACCATTATTAACATTATTGATTAATAAATAGCCTCAGTCAATACCTCACCCAATTATAAGGCCTACTGATTAGGGTTGGAATGCTATATTACTTACTAAAATATGGTAATTAATTGTATGTTGGGCTTCGATGTTTGAATATCGATAGGTGTTCCGTAATATATACAAGGTAAGTATTAAAACGATACTATCCAATTACTTAAGAACAGTGAGCTTTACGGGAAAAATAACATTGCCGTTGGACTCGAAGCGCACCTACGAGTTAGCTAAAATTGTAAGTTGCTGACACGAATGTCTCTTTTCGTGAAAAGGATCTGAAAGTCGTTTTCAGTAAATCTTCACATTCTAAGCAATGAACACATTTTGCTATAAAAGCGAGACAAACATGAGGTAAGGATGAACAATGAAAAGATGATGAACTTTCAGTAAAATCGTGAACTTCTCTCTGCGCCTGTTTCGCCATTGTTTTATCTAATACCACCCAACCTAACCTAGACTATACAGCTGCATGCATACAGCAGCAATTGTCCTATCGCTTTACGTTGTTTTAATAAGTCTGCCAGGGGGCTCCTTCAACTCTAGATTTGTCTCTCTTATGATATGTTGGCTTTTAGTTAGATTGTTACAATAAAATTACGGAACTTTTTTAGCACTGGGTGATTAACTTTTAGACGCACGTAAATTGGGTCGACCGTCGGCTGACCTTTAAAGGATGTACGTGAATCGAGTATCAAAAAGACGTTGCCATTTATAGAGTCGGTTGAGCCATTGATCCTGTTTTAGGCACGTTACTAAGGCTTAAGGTCTTTTTAATTTTTCCTTGTTTTAATAATAGATAATTATATAATAATAGATAGTTAAATTTTCTACCTCTTTATATATATATATATATATATATATATATATATATATATATACGTTTTGTTACGTGAATTCATTCTGTCCCCGAAGCCCCACCAAGACTAAAAGTTTTTTTTTATATTTTTCGTCTGGTAAGTGGCTACATATTCTATTCAATAGAAATCTATTAAGTATTTCATGGTGATTTTATGGATTTCGGTTCATGCATTCACTTCAATCCTAGGTTGTCACCAAACTTTGGAGATTTTTTTTTATCTCTTTTTGGAAATGAATTAAGAACTTTTCTCACAAAGATCAACTCTACATTAGCCGCTTTGACCCTCTAATTGTTATTTATTATAAACTGGCTTAGACAACCCTCTTTTCAGATAACTAGAAGACGCATTTTTGCCCCATTGTTATATAACCAAATCGATACGACTAATAGGGTTTTCGAGATTTTCACTCAACAATACCAGTTTCAGGTTTAAACATGTACGGTGCGTATTGATTTAGTTCGTCAAGATCTATCGATTGGTGTCCTCGCTTTACATGGAGCAACAGGTAAAGTTTTCACCTCTCAAATGGCATTTTCGACGTGAAAATGGTGATTTGGGTATATAAAAATGTATTGCATTACGATTCAGCTGGTCGAGAGTTTTTGGTTGGTGCCAAGAAATACTCCTTATGTAAACCTCCATGCATGAAAATTTCCTTCCAGTATCTCTCAAGCGAAAACGCTAACATGCTCGGCTTTTGGCCGTTTTCGAGAACGAGCAGAAATATTAATTTTAGGTATTGACAAATGTATTGCATCTTCACTCAGCTCGTCCAGGTTTATAAACTGGTACTTTGTTTAGAAAATATGTTTTTCTTCTTATAGTATTTTTCTCAGAAAATGTTCTAAGTAATATTTTGAAAAATAATTTTTCAGCTAATATGCTTTTAACACCAATCAATACAACTTCCTAATTGACACTTACCACAAATTCGCTGAAAAAAGCCTTTCGAAGCAGCTCGAACCATATTTTCAACTCATTGTCACGTAGGCGAGCCGAAGCCCTCAATCGGTTTTTGACCATATTCACGCTGAAATAGCTGAAATTCATGCTGAAATTTTAGGTGTGGGGACATAACTGCATCTTTATTAAGCTTCTCAGGGCCAAGAAAGGCCCAGTCTAGATAGATTTCCGGATAAACGATCGGCTACAATTTTGTCTTTGGAACAATGTTTTATACAAACATTTCATTAAAATATGGTCCACCTTGGCCTCTGCAACTTTGTTATAAATATGCATGAAAGATTTTTGTTTTGATCACTCATAATCACCACTATTTCATTATTTCTGTACATATCCAATTTTTGTTTTTCTTCTTATTTCATTTAAGTATAAAAAAACGCATTTCACTTTTACTCGGCTCCTCGATTTATCTTGATCGGCGTCAGGAAAAGCTGCCAAAAAAATAGTACTTTTCCTCTAAAAAAAATTTCGAGATTTTCGTGTTTCTTGTAGAAAATCCGTCAGAGGATATTTTGTTAGTTATATCAGCCATTTCAGCCTCCGGATTGACATGTGTTGACGATTTGCTTAGAAATCATTAACTGCTTTGGAATAGATACCATTATTTGGTATTTTACTATTTTCATAAAAAAAATATCCATTTTATATTTAAGGGCATGAATTGCATTTTTACTCAGCTCAATGAGACTTATTGGGGGTAGCAAAAAAGCCCCCTCTCTACATCTGTAGGAAAGCATCTCGAGTTTTCATTCTTTAAGTGGCATTTTCGACCTGAAAATTGAGATATCGGTTTAGAAACATAAATTACATTTTAATTCAGCTTAGTGTGAGATTTCGATTGATATCAAGAATAACCTCCTGTATATAGACTTTCATGTAAAAAATTTCATTAACCCGTCTCACATCGAATAAATAGCTACTGTGTTCAGTTTTTGGATTTCTTCATGCCATTAAATTATTTTTAAGTGTAAAAATACATATAAGGTTTGTACCTAGTCTGTCAAGATCGAACTATTAATAGCAAAAGATACTATCGCAAGTTTTTACCTTATAAACAGGCATTTTCGTCGTGAAAACTCGATTTTGTCCATAGGAACATGTATGGAGCTTCAATTGAGCTTTTGGCGGGAGTTTTCGAATGGTGCTAAAGAATTGGTTTGCTACATAGACTGCCATGCAAGTGTTTCACTGCTACTTTGTCATTAAAATGTAGCTCGCATCAACCCTTATAGTTTTCCCATAGATATGTATGCAACTTTGAACAAGAACAAGGCAATCTAAAAGCGAACTCTCTAGTCGAAAAGACATTATTATTGAACGGGAAGAGTTGATTCGCGCTATCTTGAGCCAACTAAAAATTCTAGTTCGATTGCCGACTTTCAACGTTTTTTTTATACCGTTGTGATTTCGTGATAATAATTATATTTTCCTGGTCCCGTCAATTTACTAGCAACATTATATCTAACTCCACGTATTACATTTTTTTCAGCTTAAGTAGCCTGACACTTCTATTGGCGAGCCACGCTTATCTCATTCACCTGTGTTGCACCCGATCTCTTAGATAGCCTATTTTTCCATTTAGGTCTATATTTCTATAAAAGCCCAGTTTCAGCTAAGTTCGAACTACATAAATTCTATTATCCCAGTGCAACCGTTTGGTTAGAATGGTTATATCCATTTAATCTAGTTTTTCTAATTTGTTACTTGGGGCCGGCGACTCTATTAATTTGGTATAGTTGTTCTAACAATGACTGGTTACTGTTTTGGAAGAATTTAATTTTTCCCTTAGAATTGCCTAGTAACCCTTTCACTCTGCTGTAATTAATCCGCTCATCCATTGCAAGTGTCCTGCTGGTGGAGAAATAACTAAACTCGATCAAAAGGTACCTAAACTGTGTTCATCCTGTACATGGAAAATTGAACACTTGACAAAAATGTATTCACCCAATCGAAGAATTTTAAATACATATATACCAAGATGGCTAAGATCAATTATTTTTCAGATAGGGAACCTAGCGTTAGGCCTCCATGTAGGAACCGTCTAGCAAAAGAAAGCATTCGCACCTGGAAAAATGAATTGAGCTAGTTTTTCAGTTATAAACCATTTCAGCAATCATAATCTGTTTTACGATTAAGTCGCATACGTGTAGAAAATCGACTTCTTTCCCTACATTAAACGCAAGTAAACATTACGTTTTATGAAAAAAGAAAATTTCGCCTTTTATAAAGAAAAAACATTTCGGCTCCACTTTCCACACCGACTTTTTTAGAGTGAATCTTCAGTGGCCCACAAAGTAACCTGATCAGACGACTTTAAGGGTCATCTTCAGTCAGATGAAGCTGCCACCCAAGTTTTTTTAGGGTAAAGCAGAGGGAACCGCAGACTCTGATCATAGGAATGGAGAGTATTAAAAAATGAGAAAGATTTAAGTGATAATTTGATAATCGAACTTGATAATGAGAGTTCTATTATTCAGGTTATAGGCAGACCATGGACAAAGCTTCGCGGTACCGAAAAACTAATACAGGTCTTACAGAGAGTAGCAAATGGCAGCGAGCATGCAGATGTGAATAACCCACGAAGCTACAGAAGGTTTCATTTAGAGTTCGAACTTTGCGCCGCAGAAGAATGAAATCCGCTATATTAGAATATTGATGAAATTAAAAATAGCTGCTGGCAAGCTAAAAGTGTTATAAAAATAATTAGGAGAAATCTCGAGCGAATCTCAAATTTAGTTGGCAGGTATAGATATTGCGCAGAAAAGCTAAAAAAATAACAAAAAATGAAACAAAATACTGGTAAAGCTTGATCGCAGATATAAATGAAGACCCTCGGGTCAAGTTATATAGGATGGTTCAAGGAAAAATTACCGAAACATACTTAAAGAAGAGAGAATCGGGACCTTAGGGAAACTATGTTCGCAGCACGTAGATCTTGCCCGAAAACCCCATGAAGTACGGGTTGCGAGTAATCACCCAGCAGCTGAAGAATACCGGCAGTCAAATCATAGCAGCTATACACCTAAGAGGATAGAATAAAATAAAGTATCTGGGGTAGGCGGCACCCCACCAATGGCGGTCAAGGTCTCGTTAGAGTTTCCTAACCTAGTCGCG